ACCCCCTACCCACTTTTCCTACCCCCTATCCAGCACCCCAGGACACCATCCCGGTCTCAGAAAGTTGGGCCACATCCAGATTGAACATACTTTTGCCACACAGCCCGGTAATATTGCCCAGATTCCTAGATCAAGATCAGTGATCTAAAATCAAAGCACAGATCCAGAGATTAATTGAGCCTGGGCCAGATCTAGAAGTCAAAGTACTGCGTCCATGAAAAGTACTATGCTAGGAGAAAGTACTATACCGACCAAAAGTACTACACCGACCAAAAAGTACTACACCGACCAAGAGTACTATACTGGCAAAAAGTACTGCACCAGAAGAAAGTACTATCCCAGCAAAAGTACTACACTGACAAGAAAGTACTACCCCAGCGAAAAGTACTACATGAGCGAAAAGCACTACACCGACGGAAAGTACTATGCTGGCAGAAAGTACTATGTCGACAGAAAGTACTACGCCGACAGAAAGTACTACGCCGACAGAAAGTACTACGCCGACAGAAAGTACTATGTCGACAGAAAGTACTATGCCGGCAGAAAGTACGACACCAGCGGAAAGTACGATGCCAGCAGAAAGTACTGCAAGGGCAGAAAGTACTACGAAGGCGGAAAGTACTATACCAGCGGAAAGTACGATGCCAGCAGAAAGTACGATGCCAGCAGAAAGTACTACAAGGGCGGAAAGTACTACACCGATGAAAAGTACTACGCCAACAGAAAGTACTACGAGGGTGGAAAGTACTACACCGATGAAAAGTACTACGCCAACAGAAAGTACTACGAGGGTGGAAAGTACTACACCAGCAGAAAATACTGCGGCAACAGAAAGTACTAGGCTGGCAGAAAGTACTAAACAAGCGAAAAGTACTATACCAGCAGAAAGTACTACAACGAGCAAAAGTACTATACCCACAAACCAGCATTGCGCACTTTTACTAGCACAGTACTATACCATAGTGCCCCAGAAGCCTCAGTACTCTAAAGTACTGAGACGAGTCACTTTACTGAACCCTCTGGTTTCAATGGCTAAGTATACTACGCCTTCCTTGATATATCAAGGAGTTAGTGAACTTCAGTGACCTTCTCAGGTGATACTAGACACGTACTGATGAATGGCGGAACGGTAATTGGAGGGGTCCTCAAGCAATAAGCGCAAAAGCAGCTTTGCATCCCTCTCTTGGCTGGGCACAAAGGTTTGACAAGCAGTCTTGCTGAGATAGTGTCGAGTAAGTCGTCTCATAGACTTCCAATGTTCATCGTAAGGGGCCAATATGATACTAGGTGAAAATCCCATGCTGAAAAAGTTTATCAGCTGCAAGAAAGTGAAACCATGCCTCGTATGTATTCCTTACAGTTCGCCCGCCATCACGAGTCGAGGACGATCTGAGTAGGCAGCTTGAGTAAACAGGGCTTGAGTTACGTCCACGCTGTTCAATATCGCAATATGAACGCCGAAGATTTGTAGGTGGACAATGTCGCCTAGACCAACCCAACTGAATAACTGCAGTAAAACCCCAAATGAGAGTGAATCTGTACCGTAGCTCATTGACCAATCCGTAAACTTAAGCCAGCCAGACTCAAATGGCCAGTCGAAAAGGTTTCCTATGACAGGGTAGCCTGGTGGGCCAGCCGGATAAGGATACGGGCGAGTGCGCCTTCTGTATGACCATATGATGGCGCCCGAAAGAAGAACTATCGTGAGGTAGAGGCCGATATAAGGGAACATAATTCACTAAGGTCAAGTCGTTAGCATATATTGTAAACATCCTCAGTCTGCTTTATATGGCCTGTGCCCATGAGTGGCGCTCAGAGAGAGACTTATCGTTCCGCCGTGGAAAGATTCTCATGATCGCTCTACTTGGTGCTCGTGTACAGGCTCCGCGGGGTAGAGGTGGACCAGAACCCCACGAGTTTGAAGCGCTTGACTGCGCATCTTTCGTGTTCCCGCCCAGACTTCGCTCCCGCTTCAGATCAATCAGCTCCGATTTCAGACCTAGTTGTCCGGTGTGATTGATGTACCAAGCAGCGCGTTAGCCTATTGCCTGCCACAGCTGAATTTAAATTGTCGTGTATCTCTGATGCGCTACGAGAGTGATAGTGATCGCCTAGAAGTGGTCCTCGGACCTATGTTCATAGAGTCAGGAGAACCATGCCGTACCAACTTCGCGGGTTCTGGCTCGCAGAGCCTTCTCTGGATTGTCACCCACGAGGAGGTGCGGGTGACACGGGTTATGGGCATACCGGGAGTGTGAGCTCGGGGAGGAGATTCTGCCAGGCGAACACTGATGCAAGGCGGCACGGGGAAGACTTCACAGCAGCAGGTGCCCGAAACTTTCCACGGGATAAAGCGTAGAATTAGATCCGAGACAATGGGCGACCGCAATGTTTGCTGTTTTACACCGCTTCACAAGAAGGAAGGAACAGGAGTTCAGCTTATGAACCAACATCTTATTTTGGCTATCGAATGCGTAAAAATCCATCTGACGAACCTGCCCGAACGAGATGAAACTAGAAGGTGTGGATGCCGCCAACCGATCTATCAGTTAGGCTTCGATCGAATAAGACACATCAGCTGTGCCGCTGCATCGAACCGGGTGACAGGACTGAGTATGTGCATGGAGCATTGATGGCTTGGAGAGTATCGGTGACTGTCATTCTGAAAGAACGAGCTTTACGTTCCATCATCCCAGTAGGTAGATCAAATAAACTCCTGACAATATGATAATTTCGGATACCGCATATCAGATGCGGTACACACAGGATATTTGAGACATACAGACAACCGAGAAAAGCAACGACTCGAGTTCGAGCCACTTTCTCATCACCGCGCTACTTCAGGAAGCATCCACAGCCCTCCCTAAAGCATATTCATGAGGTAAAACTTCCAAAAATGTCAGGGGATGATACGGCATACCTTTACATACATGGTGAAACTCATGCCGGGGCGTATCTTCTCTTTGGGCTGACGTCCATGCCCATGCTTCCATTCATCCGGAGGAAGAGAGCCCACCGGTTGAGACTGCGGCGAAAGATGGAAGGTCTTGAAGCGCTGCAAGGCTCGCACTAGAAAGTACGACGCCTCGTTGATGGCAAAATCTTGCCCAATGCACTATAAAACATGAATTACATCAACACTGGACAATCAGCATCAGGTCTTAATGGAGAAACGAACAGCTCTTGGTCCATGAGAAAACGGACAATAAATGAACATGTTGCTGTTCAGGATGTTAGTGTTTTCATCGTCAAGCCATCTATCTGGTTTGAACTCGTCGGCGTTGGCGCCCCAAAGATCGTGACGGCGTTGTAGTAACAAGGACAGCGTCATGACCTGGGTTGACGGCGGCAGATAAAGCGCTTTATCAGATGCAGTGGGTATAACCAAAGGTATGCCCTTTGACATGCGAGTGATCAGTGGAGCGCTAGGGAAGAGACGAAGCGTTTCGTTGAGGACTGCACGAACTGTACATCTCAAAATGAGCTCGAGAAATTGTATCGCTTTCGAAACAAACGCACGGTACTTCAAAGCCTTAATACTGGCATATGTTGGTAATTCAGATGAGCCGATATGATCATCAATCTCTGCACGAAGTCGTCCGAGGATATCCTCATTCATGGAAAGCAAGTAGAGGGTGAAGGTGATGAGGCTAGATGTCTGTGAAAAGTTTTGTCTATTAATAGCTTCTATTGGACAGAAGATGATCTTACCGTGTCTCGAGATGCGATGAGGTACGTGACGAGCTCGTAGCGAATATGCTCCACATCTGACAAGCCGCACGTGAATATATATCCTCTTATGCAGATACACGAGGAAAATAAATGCGCCTCACCATCAGTAGAGCTTGCAAGAAAGTCAAGGAAAACACCGTCTGTCGCATCAGAACCACTGCTGGCGGTTTTGCGACGAAGGGCGTTTCTAACCAGCGGATCAAGCCAGTCAAAGATTACATCGATCGATTCTTGGGTTTTGTCGTGGAAGAATTCGGTGAGTGGCCAAGTTGTACCCTGAGCACCTCGCCGGGTTATAATGACGGCAACTTCCTCAAAGGCCTCTGTAAACGAATCAAATTCAGTCTGACCGTCGATGGGCATCGAACCCTTGGGTCCGAGTTTGGCGCGTCCAGGCTCTACTAAGGGTTGCAAGAGCGTATCGAGCTTTATACCGAACAGGAATTCCGATGCTGAATCGAGGGTGAATCGAGAGATAAGTTCTTGAACATCGCAAGCCTGTCCGAGCTCTGCGCGCGTGGTGAGAAGATCCAAGGCAATCCGACTTGTTGAAAGGCCGCCTTGCGTGGTGGCCTCACTCGGACAAACTAACAAGACCAAATCGTCTGCGTTGCGGTCAGAGAGCGTAAGGTAAGTATGTATGTAAGTATTGATATGCGTACCTGCGTTGCGGTCAGAGAGCGTAAGGTAAGGAGGACCGCGGCGCAGGAAAGGAATAATTAATGTAATGTTTGTCCTTGTTTGTACTACGAAAGTCTCGCGTAACTACCGGTGAATAATATGTGAGCCCGCCAGGCTTACACCCTCCCCCCCTCTGAGATCAGTGTATAGTTCCGAAAAAATAAGAAAGAAGGAAGGAAGAAAATGAGAATGAGAATGAGAAAAGTAACACAATTAATCAGACTGCTCGCGAAGCCGTTCTGCCTCCTTTGCCTCCCAGACATCGAGTGCCTCTGTCTGCGCCATCTCTGCACCCGAAATCCACCTCTCCTCTTCTGGTCCTTCACCCAACCATCGAACCTTATACTGCTTTCCTCGCCCTCGCCTTCTCTCATCCACAATTCTATCAATGGGCCACTCCTCCCAACCATCCGCAGTAACGATGGGTCGTGGTCCACTGAGCTCTCGATCCGGAAAGAGAGCGGGATTGTTCGCCCTATGTCGTTTGAGAAGGGATGCATGGAATCCCGGGAAGGTGCGCGGCGAGTTGGGAAGCTGAAGAGTATACTGAGACTTCTCTGGGAAGGCGTCGACGACAATATAGGGACCATCCCATCGTGGCATGAACTTAGCCACACGTTTGGCCCCCTTCCGCTTGTACTCTCGTCGCCGATTCTCCGTCGACAACATAACACGGTCTCCCTTCTCGAAAACGTCTTCGGCTGCTCGATGTTCATTCGCATGATACGCCTGGCGAATCTTGGCCGCAAGGAGATTGTCCTGAGCGTCCTTGACGTCCAGTTCAATCTGCTGCATGACCGCGCCAGCATCACGATCTTCCTTCGTCCGGGTTGATGGGATGAATGGTGGGATAAGTCGAGGAGAGTGGCCGCTCTTGAGCTGAAAGGGAGAGTATCCGGTCGATGCATTGACAGTGTTCATTATTGCGAAGCGAATCCGGGGAAGGACTGCTACCCAACCGGTCTGGTTCGCATCAACATGTGACCGGATCGCCTCGTTGACCGTCTTGTTACTGCGTTCGCTGGCACCATCTGTCTCTGGGTGATATGCTGTCGACATCTTGACCTTGACCCCGGTGAGCTTGTGTAGTGCATGCCAGAACTTGGTCATAAATAACTTGTCGCGGTCGGAGATGATTTCGATTGGGAGGCCATTCTCGCAGTACCATTCATTAAAGAAGATGACTGCGAACCTTTCAGCGGTGAGCGTCGTTTCCGAAGGTATGATCCGAATATCAGCGCCTGAACGATCGGTCATTGTGATAATCGAGTCATGGCCTTTATCCTTTGGAAGGGGTCCGATGAAGTCAATGGCGACGGATTGGAAGCGCTGGTCCGGAACGGGAAGAGGATGTAGTGGCCCGGGTGGTTTAGACGTGCGACTCTTGTTCCGTTGACAGTCTGTACATGATGGAATATACGCGCCTTCGAGATCTCTACGCATATTAGGCCAGTAGTAGTCGTCGCGAAGTGAAGCGTAAGCCTTGTCGAACCCAGCATGTCCAAGCGAGTCGTGAGCGAGGCGAAACAACGTCTCCCGTATCGAGGTATCGCGAGGAATCAACAGCCGTTGACCAACATACAGCAGATTGGTCTCTGAATCCAGGCGAGCGCCTTCGATGCTGGCTAGATTCTTCTTCAGTTTCTGACAGAAGTCGTCGGAGGCATATCCCGCCTGGATGTCGTGGAGTAGAGTGTCGTTGGCGACGATAGTGAACGTGCTTGGAGTTGCCGAACTGGTGGGGGATGCTGGCGATTCAGGCGAAAGGTTGGCGAGAGCGAAAACAGCACAGATGGGGGCAGGTGAATCTTCATCCGGCATGCGTGACATTCCATCCGCTACCGTGTTATCTTCGCCCTTGACATAATGAATATCGAAATCATACTGGGACATGTATTCCTGCCAACGAGATTGCCGACGAGAAGGTTCCTCTGGCCAGGTTTCGAAATATGCGAGAGTACGATGGTCGGTGAAAACCTCGAAGTGGGCCCCAAGCAAGAGGTATCGCCAGTGTTTCAGAGACTTCAAGATTGCGAGAAGCTCCTTCTCATGAACCGGGTAGTTCTTCTCGGCACCTTTGAGCTGAACGGAGTCGAAAGCGACTGGTCGAGCTGTCTCCCAAGTTTCGCCGAAACTGAGAACGGCTCCTGTACGACGATCGCTGGCATCTGTTGTGAGGAATATCCTCTTGGTCGGATCGGCGTAGTCGATGGTGGTGAGACAATCACGGCTAACGACGATGTCCTTGATGGCCTGAAACGCATGCTGATGTTCCGCTGTCCAAGCTGGGAAGGACTTGTCGCATTCCTTGTTGGTGAGTGGTGTGAGGTGAGAGGTATGCTCGGCGAGTGCAGGTAGGAACTGGGAGATGTATCGGACAAGACCAAGAAATTGGCGAACTTCGGTGGCCGACTTGGGTACTGGCCAGTCGACGATGCGATCGGTCTTCCGAGGGTCCGCATAGATACCATCCGCCCGAAGAATGTGGCCCAAGAAGGATACCTCCGTGCAAAACAGTTCGGTCTTCTTCGGGTTGCAGAATAGGTGTGCAGCTCGCAGGGCGTCCATCACCTTGGCTACGTTCTGTTCATGCTCTTCGACTGTCTGGGACCAGATGATGATGTCGTCCAGGTAGACGTGGCAAATTGTCCCGATATGTTCACGAAGAGCGTCGTTCATTCGCCGTTGATGAGTCGCTGGTGCATTCGTACCGCCCATCGGCATGACCGTCCATTCGTATAGGCCAAACGGTGTCCGAACAGCGGTGAGGTGGATGTCGTCAGGATGTACACGGGTTTGGAAAAAGGAGTTGGTCATGTCGATCTTGCCAAATATTTTTCCCTTCCCGCAATCGGCGAATATCTCGTCAATACGAGGCAGTGGTGTTTCGTCCCGAATAGTATTCTTGTTGATCTGCCGGTAGTCGTTGACCCATCGAGGAGGTGCTGTTGGATCTGACTTCGGAATGATGAATGCTGGTGATGAGTAGCTGCTGGATGAGGGGCGAATGCGACCGGCTGCGAGATGTTCATCAAGAAGGGCCTTCCATGCCGCCCGATACTTCTGTGGACAGGTGTACGATCGCCCCGAGACAACCTTGGTCGCGTCCTTGAGGCGGATGCGATGAAAGACCTTGGCGGGAATAGCCTCAACATCCGGAAGTCGAATTGGAAAGCGATCTGCATACTTTTCCTTAAATTCAGCATCGCGCTTCTTGAGCAGCTCCGTGACGGCGAGGACCTCGATGCGTGCACGAACATTGGTCATGACTTCAGCCGGTAGGACTGTCGCAATAGGGGCAGCTCGCTTCGGCGGAGGTGACGGTCGTGGCTTCTTGGGAGTAGGTGGTGGTATAACTCTCGGACCCGACGGGGTTCGCGGTGGGAAAGTCTTCGGGCGCATTAGATCGTATCCAACGGTCTTGTCGATGGCAGAGCGCTCCTCGACGTCGATGACGATGTGGTTGGCAACAAGAAATGTATTGCCAAGCAGAAGAGGGACACATAGATTCGGGGCGACTTTGGCCCGCACAACTCTCGACTCCCACAACGAATCCTTCGACATAACCTGCACCTTCACCCACTCTGAGAACTCGAACGAATCTCCACCTTCCTTCGCCATCGACACAACCTGCGACTGCGGGAGCTTATGGCGTCGAAGTCCGAGCTGTTCGACAAGCTCTGGGCTAATCAGAACTGAGGGTGAACCGATGTCGAGAAGAGGCGATACAGGAATGGGAAATTCGACGTTAGGACCAGTGATAAGACAGTCGGGGCGGAGATGAGCTTCGTCTAGAGGAACGTACTCGGATTCATCCTCAGACGAGGTTCCATTTCCGAGTGCGGCGGATCCCGTCCCAAGAACGGCGATGGGTTCTGCCTTCACAGGGGCAGAGGTCGACCGAGGTTTGGACGCTAGGGCCTGAGCTTCGGTGAGTGGGGCATAGCCGACACCGGAAGCGAATCCATTCGGACAGTTCTGGGTCTGGTGATAAACCCAGAAACGACGGCACTTCCGACACCCGTGGTACTTGTTCAATAGCTCCCTCTCCGACTCTGTCAACCGCGGTAGACGAGCCTCGGAGGTAGCGGCAGCGGAAGTAGAAGGTGTAGCGACAGCGGCGGAGCGAGGGACATACTGCGTGGTGTTGGTAGCACGACGAGCGTCGCGGTCTGCCCGATTGCGAGAACGTTCGGCTGCGACGGCCGATGCGACCTGCTCGCGCACGTCCTGGCGCTCGTCGTCGACGGTGCGGATCTCCTCCAGCCAGTCCTTGATGTTCGTTGCGATGATCCCCTTCCGTTCGACGGCCTTGGATAGGTGAGGGTCCATATTGGCCTCGAGAATCTCCATGAGGCGAGTATCGTTGGCGTGGTACGTCGTACCGAGAAGGGTGGCGTTGGTTTGGCGGATGTGTGTGGCCCACGACCAGAAGTCGCGCTCGCCCTGATGTTCTCCGTTGACTGATCGGCGTACCTTGAGTTCCCAGTTCTTCGGCAGCCAGACCTTTGCCATCTCCTTCATGTACGCGTCGAACGTGAGCGCGTGGAGCGTGGCCGGATTGCCTTGGTACCATGCACGTATGACCGGATCCTCCATGCCTGAAACCACCATCTCCACCTGATCCGTTGCCTTGATCTCCTTGTGGCGGAAGTAGCTTGTGCAAGCGAACTTCCAGTCTTGCAGGATCTGGGGAGAGAGCTCGCCAGGGGTCAATATCGGAGGCTTCGTGACGGACTTGTGGTCAACCGTCGCGAGTGTGGTTCTGTTGCGTGTCGTGGACATCGTTGGCGCGGGCGATGGGAGATCGGAGCTGTAATCGGAGTCGGATCTCGGTGAGGGAGGGCCTGAGAGTGGAGGAGACGGATTTGGAAGGACGGATGGGACTGTGGGAGGCGGCGATGGATGGGGAAACGGTGTGGCGGCGGTCGGCGGGGACGGAACGGCTTCAGCAGCGTTGTTTCTCGCGCGAACAGCTGCTCGTGTGAGGAGCGGTGTTGGCGTTGACGGTTGACGGCGAAACGCTATCGTGACGGGTGGAGCACAGTCGGCTTGACTGTACGCGCGTCTCAACAGCGGCGGTGACGGTGTGGTCGGTGTTAAAAAAAAAGTGAAAGGCCGCCTTGCGTGGTGGCCTCACTCGGACAAACTAACAAGACCAAATCGTCTGCGTTGCGGTCAGAGAGCGTAAGGTAAGTATGTATGTAAGTATTGATATGCGTACCTGCGTTGCGGTCAGAGAGCGTAAGGTAAGGAGGACCGCGGCGCAGGAAAGGAATAATTAATGTAATGTTTGTCCTTGTTTGTACTACGAAAGTCTCGCGTAACTACCGGTGAATAATATGTGAGCCCGCCAGGCTTACACTTGTGCGTTCAAATATCTCGAAATCAGCAATACGGGCCTTCGAGAAGAATGGGCGAGCCATCGCACGGCCCTAAGGAAAAATCAATAGGTGTTCCATACACTCGGGTAAGTGACTCACTTCTTTCCAGAGAGCTCCCTCTCTGTGGGAAGAGTCAGAGGACGGTAGTGGACTAAGCGTGAGTATCCCGACTTACGCATTGAATAAACCTGTGCCTAAAAGCTTGTCACTGTGATCGGTCAGCGACCGGTTCATGAAATCGCGTAGAGACTAGCTTACATCCGCTCGTGCCACCCGACACCCTTTTCGAAATGCGGAAACCCCGTCAAGGACACGAATTGCAATACGTCTTCATCCATCGTAATGACCTGAACACGAGTAAAGATACGCCAATTTAGAACTGTGACTGCTTCCTACCTGGTCCGTCCAGAAGATGCGAGTATTAAGTGTCGTACACTGATACTCTGCGAATAGTTCGGAGAATCCTTGAAAAACATAGCCAGTTTCAAACAGCTTGACCATGCGCAGTACGACATCCAAGTTCCCTGGCCACTTTCCTACAACGCGGGGAATGGGGTTGGCGTTCAACTGCTTAGCAGCACGACCCTGAGTCCACATTGAATAGCGCGACCTGATAGAGATTCCGAGAGGGATGCTGGCGATCATGACCACTATGTAGAGCATGCGGCTGCTACTGCAAGAAACATATGACAAACACAAGAACACAGCGGCAGGAGGAAATATGAGGGCTTTTGCGAGTGCGAGAGTGATACGTTTGCGATAGTCTGGTATGGACTTCTCAAAATTCGTCTTGGTCCTTCGTGCCATGTTGAACAAGATGAGGGGGGTGGAGAAGAGTGGTCATGCACGCTGCAATCCCTTCTATCGACGCGCAGGCGCTGGGCGGAGCTGAAACTCATTCGCGGCTGGTTTCGGCATGTCTCGGTACCCTCCGGTGAATAAGTCTCCTTCCTTCCGAGCGACGCAGCGCTATGGTTGGCGCTCAGATCAGTCAGCGCTCAGCGCTAGTGACGCCCTCCTTCATGGGGCGCTATGGCCCACTGCACCGTTCTTGAGGACAGGATCGATGTGTATAATCGGATCGCGTCTTACTTGGTCCTCGAACCCCATTTAATCAACATTTGATAGCTCGCATCACAAGGAAACACTTGCCCGTGTCTGCGGAAGATGCGTGGCCCTGTGCGCCGATTTCTGTGCGGGGCGTGCGAGGTCTCTGAGTCCTTACTAGCGGCCTAACACCTCAAAAGCTACACGGCATTGACAAGATTTGGATCATGCCTTCAATGCGCTGACTCTGTGTATACTTAGCCCGCACAAAATATTGATAACAGCAGAAAAGAAATCTCCATATTTTTCGGCCGCTTCCCAGATCATACAGCGTTGAGCGCTGAGCGGCTCCGAGTCTCCCACGTCGCTTGTGCTCGGAATCCTTGAGGAACAATATCGTTTCCGAAGCTCGAGGCATAGACACTTCCACTGCCAGGGCTGTATATATCAAACTGGTAAGTAACTTCCTGCAGCGTTTGTGCCGCAACCCGAACGCATGTAATGTGATCTATCATTTGAAACTCTCAATCGAACAAGATACATCGATATCGACTCTGCCCTCGATCCTGTCTTTTTTGAGACAATAGGCATTGCTTTGGCGAGGATAAACTATTTTGAGTCAAATATAGAACACGCAAGTTCGCGTCAAGTTTTGTGTAGGCGCGCGATGTGCGCGTTCGAAGGGTAGCCCCCATCGAGTGTGCCCTCCATGCGGAAGGCTTCTGCTCCCGAGGAACCCTTCGGACAGTGAGTAATCATCATTTCGCGTATCACTGTTCTTCACACACTGATCCCTAACTAGTGCCAGATGCCGTTTCCGTACTTCTCTTGTATCAGAATCAGTGAGTTCCATCAGCCACCGTTCAGAATGGAGGAAGGACCCCGAAACATCGACCCGGTCAACATCAAGGCAGCCGTATGAGAGGACATCGATGTCATACTGGCTGTCGCATCAAAGTCCAGCATTCTATATCTCAGCTCGGTGTGGGCCTCATGCTTTCCTTTCCTTTCCTAGTAATCGTTCCCAGATCGCTGTATCTCCGACGCTGGTAGGTGAGCCCCTGATATCAGAGATATTAACGCCCGAGGGGCTGTAATGTGTGATCAGGTCGTGAAATGTTCCACTATGACCCAGATTCCCCATGTTTCCGTTTTATTGACTGATTATTTCTGAAATTGTCGCCCTGATGTTACTGCATCCGGTGTGGTCTCAAAGTAGCTTGAAATTGTTGCTGATCCTAATTCAGTAAATGTTGATGATTGGCTAGTATGCTACCGGATTAATGGGTACGAGTTGGATGGCTATTTTGAGGGCATCTTGCGCGAGCAATAGATCACCTCCTATGGAGGGCGGTTGATGCGCATAACACAGTGCACCAGAAGATACACAGGTTTTGATTTCTCACTCGTTGGATTTCGATAGGTTATCGTGAGTGTTCGGGTATGTAGGCCCATGAAGACTGATGACTCTAAGCTTTTACGACATACAGCTGCCTTGAGAGTTTTGCCGTCAATTTCCTCCCAAGTAGAAGACACTTAATAACCCGGACATATGGAGAGCTCGAATTGTGAGTATATCCTTCACATGGCACTAGGACTGTTGTACGGCACCATCATACGGTGAGACTCGTCGTTAGATCATTATCGAGGGTATCTGTTCTCGTACTGATTGCCCCTCTACCCTTTCTCGTAGCACATACTGCATCTCTATGAAGCGCCATTTATACACGCTTGTCCTCTTTACTTGGACGGATTACAAGACAATTTTCCTCCCTGTGGTCAGTTTATCATTGAGTCATCGAGCAAACACAAAATAGATCATTTACTATGCACCTCCGACATTGTAGATGACATTTGCGTGTGCAACTGGACCAATTTCTACCTACCGCCATTTCATCAAAACCGTGGTCTGGGTGTTGACCCATTTGCTTATATGCAATGTGTCAAATCAGGCCAAAAGCGAAGACGAAGACTCAGTCAACAGACCCTGGAGGCCTCTCCCGTCCAAGCGAATAACGCGCTCTCAGGCTATTTCACTCAAGTGGATAATGGTCTCTGCCGGGATGTCATTTTCCATCGCCTGTGGCACTCAGTTTGTCATACTCACCCTTGCATTGGTGTTGACGACTGTATTATACGACGACGTCGGACTCTCACGAAGTTTTGTCGGAAAGAATGCCTGCAACATTCTTGGATACGCTGTCTTCGAATCAGCCGCGGTAGCACTAATGGGTAAATATCTATTTAGCAACTCTCCCGATTCACGAACTACTCTAATTTATCAAGTTCATGATTATCTCTCGCAGCACCACATTCGAAATTTGACTCTGTCTCCCTTTGGGCCATTGCACTAAGCGCGATCCTCATATTCACCACCATTCAGGCCCAAGACTTCTCCGATGTCGAAGGCGATGCCCTTGCCGGTCGCGTTACATTCCCTATATATGCTCCGGAGTTTTCGCGACTGGCCACCTTGCTGACAACAACGGCATGGTCAGTCTTCTATGGATGGTTTTGGGGAGTTGGCCCTGTGATTAGAGTTCTGCTTGCGGTATTGGGCACTGCTGTGGGTGTAAGGTACTATAAGCTGCGAACACCAGTCGCAGACAAGCGAACATACGTGCTCTACAATGTATGTGACTAACCATGCCATCAATCCATCCGGAATACGACATTGCTGACGAAGAGTTCACAGGTGTGGCTTATGATGACGAATATTCTAGCCATCCACGCAAGAACAGGTGTATTGTGGTTCTAAATATCCGACTTCCGAGTCAGTAAATTATAACATCAATTACCCTATGTTTTGAGTGACTGTCTCGAGAGCCCGAGCGATAGATAATATACAGCTAATATTGGTACCCTGGCACATAGACTAAGCATGTCCTCATATATTTGAAGACCTAGTGTATCTATGTACGTTGAACCACATTGCAACGGAATGTCTCGAAAAGCAGCGAGACCAGGCATGTGGCCGTTTCGGCCAAAGACAATGGTGCGCGGTAACAAAGGGACCGAGATGTTGAATTTGGCACGAACCCTTTGGCTAATGCGCGTGCTGTGCGGCACAAATGTGGGACTGCGCCATCAAGCGTATCTGCTGTTACAAAAATCAGAAGCCGATAGCAAACCATGGCGAAGCTGGCATGAGACATAGGGGTTGAAGTACGCAAGAAGCAAGTCCACGGAAAGCAAATAGAAAGAGATCAGGGATGAGAATCGGGTGTGGGAACTTGGTGTGGCGAGAGAGTGTAGTTGTGGCCGTGGCCATGATATCGTTACAGGACTTTGAATAATGCCCCCGAGTTGCAAAGCGCTAGTACCTGTGATGAAGAAAAGAACGCCTGCCCCCAAAACGCCTCATATATGTAGCTCACAGAAGTTGTCCAAGTGACGGATGACACGTTCAAACACCCCTCAAGACCGAGAAGATTCTTGGCACGGTGTCGCAGCTGAAGCTACAAATTTCCCAAGAATTATCCAAACAGAATCATTGGGTTTAGGCGTGATGACTCGGACCATCCGAATTAACACTTCACTATACAATTGATGAACCAAGCTTACACCGAAACTACGTCCAACGACGCATCACTGATTCTGAGTTTCGAAAGGCTTCTGTCTCATGTCGTTGTTCATGGTCCGTAACACCGAACTAGAACAGCACACAACGGGGACATATTGGTACAGAAAAGACTTGACATTCACGGAATGGGTCTTCCATCACGAGTGGCCTTCGCAGTCTCACTCTGGGCTTCGTTGCGTAAATAGCGACTAACAATCTTCTCGTAATGACATTCCTCCTATGTAGTAACCTCATAAGTCACATTATCGATGTGCGAGAACCAAGACAAACTTACGCTCGTGGTTGACAATACACTCTTCCTCGTTTCCAACTGCTCAGCATATTTCTTCCACTTCTCACTAACATCCTCTCTCCTGTAACCTCTATGGTCCCTCGCAACATTATCGCGAACAACCCACGGCGCTATGGAAGAATCCACCAAACTCCACTGATCGCCAAGAAAATAGGGGCCTTTCACCTTGTCCGTAAACGCCCTCAAGGCCGTCTTCAGCTCTTCTAACGCATTCTCCTGTTTATCTTTCTCTTGTGCCATCACAACGCGAAAAAAACCGGGAACAATGGTTTTGCTGACATGATCGATCCAAAGGCGAGCCTCGGCAAGAGTAAAAGGGTCGCTCGGGAGGAGAGGGGTGTGATGTGGGTAGGCGTCTTCTAAAAATTCGCAGATTATGAGTGACTCGTACAGAGGACGTCCCTGGTATTCAACAGCTGGTATGAGACCCTTTGGATTGATTTCTGTGATATTGATACGATTTGTGAGTCTCCATCCATATATTCAGGGAATAGACTTACCGAGGAAGTGCTTGTCCTTCTCGTAGGGATTGACTTCTTTGTACTGGTACGGAATTCCCTTCTCTTCGAGAGTTATCCAGCTCCTCTGCACAAAAGGACAGAACTGAAATGTATTTAGTGATCCTGTACCTGAGTATGTTGTAGGGGAAATGAACTGACCCATCCGGCCCAAAAGACCAAGTCCTGAGGGGAACTATGTTCCTTGACGGTGAGTGCAGCGTCACCAGTGGCATAGGGGAATATATCTGCGTCGGGCACCGACATAGTATCTGACGTTCGGCGGACTTGGATAACAGAGAGACGGGTAGAGAGGCCGTGAGTGAGACCGTGACTGCGAACGTTACAAAGCAAAGCTGCAGAGTGCCGTAGTGTCCCCGGATGCATCGCTTTTGAGTGGTTCGTCGGTAGCTCCGAGGAATAGATAGAGCGTGAACAACCTGCTATTTCCGAGCTATTCGCGAACAGGGAGAACCTCTCTTAACTCGGACCGATACTCAATGTAGTAAGGCGAGCACAGAGACCGACAGACGCTCCATGTCATTTACGGCATTGTTTCTGCTTTGCAAATATCAGCTTCTATATTTGATCCTTCTTCGTACCCCGAACACTGTATGATGATAGTGATACATTCGCATGTTATTTTAGACTTCGCTTCGTTTAGTACTTCGCAAGGCAGAGCTCAGTAACTATTTTTCCTGTACTGCTTGCGGCATCATGAACAATCTCGGATCAGCCTCAATGACACTCTCGATACGTCTAGGACTACAAAACCACTGTATATTCCAGTATAGTCACCATGGAATGACTTCAAAATGACGGAGATAGGAGATAGTTTTCGGAGATAGTAAAGCCTTGTATAAAACGGGCAGTGACAGCGGTGCCACAAGGTCTCATATTATTTGTGGCCGTTCTCCACGAATACAATGATTCACGTGGAGGCGAGGAGAGGCGAGGCGATTCTTTCGCTCTACCCTGCTCTACCAGAGCAATCAAAGTACGAAGTATCTATAGCGCCCACCGGGAATAGAGCGAAAAGAAGGCGTAGCCCGGAATAGAGCGAAAAGTTAGGTTTAGGCAGATGCCGTCCTGTACAGCGAGCGCGCGATTTCCGGATCCTTCGACAAGAGACCTTCCAGCGCCAACAACTTTTGCATCCGCGAAGCCTTTCGTAGCATTCCATGAGAATTATGCTGACGCTGTTACTAATAGTCAATGCGCTTCTGATATGACGGCCGTACCTTCGGGTCTATCCCACTGCCCTGGCAAGAAACTAATGTGGCAATCCGTGGGACGTTCCTCCTCGGTCGAATTTCTGTCATTCTCTCGTTTAGCTGAATCTCGACGATGAAAGATGCGGTCTACATCAGGATCAACCTCGTGTCTGATATCAGGACACCCGTTTGATGTCTGCCACAGGACGCCTGCGCCATGATAACAAAATTCACATCTCTCAAGAACGGTGGTAGGCAGGTCCCGGCGTTTGCTTGTCAGATATAAGGCGGCGATTAGTACTAGCACAAAAGTCTCGCCTTCCTCGTTTCTCAGCGCTAACTCAGACATGACTATATCGTTTGCTGGATCTGAAGTGGTCTCTTTATTCCTAGAGGCCACGCTATATGGTAAGTCAAATTGTTTACTGCCTTGAGTCCTACAGTATTGATACTGAATTTCACACTGATAGGGCTCTATGCCATGCTCTTCGGACAATCCCTACGCGTTATTATCCATCCAAAACGCTCGAAGAGGACCAACATTCGAATGGTCATCGTTTCGGTCCTTCTGTTCATGCTGATCACATGGGTAGTTGTAACCAATTCCACTTTTTCTTGTCATTGAATAACAAGTGCCTTTGATTCAGCATATCTTTACCGACCTTGTCCGACTAGTCCTCGCTCTGCAGAACAGCGAAGCTGTGGCGAACGTTGCTGCGATTTTCGGTGATGCAAAATCATTATTTAGCGTAATGAAGACAGCCATATACGTCGGAGTCACGGCTGTGTCTGACACTTTCATAGTACGTCCTACTAAGTATCTACTCTATTCTTCCTTTAACGCGAGCCCCCTTTCAGGTTTATCGCTGTTATGTTGTTTGGAATAAGGACTTCCGAGTCATTATACTGCCCGCAGTGTTATACCTTGCCGATATAGGTTGGTATATGCCATAAGTACTATACGAGAAAGCGCTGATATAATACGATAGGGGCCGGCATTGCTGCGACCGTGACTCTCTCCGAGCTGCCACTAGGGCAACCCTATTACATCCAGCGGCAATTCAGGGTTACTGAGACCTTTTTCGCGACCACGTTGGCTCTCAACGGTCTTTGTACTGGTACGCGTTCTTTTCGAACCTAAATAAATGATTACTGATTCCTTTGTCTAGTCTTGATCGCCTACCGGGTCTGGAGCCACCAACGGGCCATGTCGATTGCTATGCCGAATATGAAGGGGCCTCAGAATCTGAACCGTGTGGCTGTCATTGTCGTTGAATCAGGTGAGGCAGATGTCCATTCTACTCTCTGTCTTCGCTGGTTCCTTAGCTTTGAATACCATAGGGGCAATATATGTCGCAGCTTTGATCGGGATGATCGCCATGTACACTTCTGAGATCACTGTTGCCTTCAATGTCTTCTTAGATATCGTGAGTTCAATTTGCACTGAGTCTGCATTATCAATTTTATGGAGATCTTATCGTGTCTTTACCAGCTGTCTCCCATTATTGTCAGTATTCTACTTCAGCTCTTTGTCTTGACGACTCACTAATCTTCTTTATTAACCTCAGGGTATCACGGTGCGAACACAATGTCCCCACATCTATTGTGTGTGCAGCACTGACAGCGGTACCTCATCAGTATGCGCTTATCATCGTTCGCGTGGGTCTTGGTATTAGCCACGAAACCACCGTGACTATCTCCACGCTCGCTACAGCTACACCTCACCGCAAGCAACAGGGTCATGGCCTTATTTTTCGACCCAACCATAGTTTCACCGGGACTTCCGCCACAGAAGCAACTAGAAGTAAGAATGGAATCGAACTGGGCGACCTACGCGGCTTTCGGGTCGACTCGGAACACTCAGCAAATACTGGCGATTACATCCACACGTCTCGACACGGGTCAGTTGAGTTGGATGCTTTCGAGTCTACAGATGTTGCAGAGAAAGGCCAGGGTGAAGCACAAGAGAAGAATATAGTCATGGTATAGGGGTTCTCAAGCTGAATACGGGAAATTTTGCAACCTTTGTACCTGCCGTTCTAGTCGCTGCGGAGAACGTGAACCTAGCCATCCTGGTCTTCATCGAGCTTCATCGAGCTTTTTGTCGATTATAGTCTCACGACTGATCTTCCTTTTGCGATGCATGTATAATGTCGCTGCCAGCTGTATTTCACCTTGTCCATAGATTATAACGTTGTTGTTTACGTGGTATTCACCACTTGAAAATCTGAGAGCCACAATACACGTTGCATGCCGCGATGTCTTAAGGACGGGTTAAATATGAAAGGATTGTGTCTTTTTTTGAGGTAGCCAGCGTCTTGTGGCACAGCTTTCAGGGTATATCTGTATCCTCGAGAGAAACACTTTTGTTCAATTCCGTATTTTGTCACTGATGTGACTGGAAGCTGAGAATTGGGCGCTGCAGATTGCATCTTACCCCGTAATTTGGCTGAGATCGATCAGAGAGGGCTATATAAGTACCAGTCTATCAAGCAGCATAAAAGCCACCCTGCAGAGAAATCTCTCAGTCACCCCACGCTCTATATCTCGACCGCTATTGCACCTGCTCAATACCCATCATGCGAGTGGCGATATGGTATGTCAACTGGCTCGATGTATGTCATCCGGATTTAACAAAGCACAATAGTGGTGGCGGCCTTGGCGGCCTTACTCTGGCGATAACTGTCGGCAGGTATTCGAGCATACCGATTGATATCTACGAAGCGACCGACGACATAGGAACAGTCGGTGCTGGACTCGCCATATTCAGGAGGACATGGACTGTTTTCCAGCAGATTGGGATAGATATAGAGATGGAGAAAAGAGGTATACCTCTACCGTACGAAGGAGAACGTACGTTGCTATATGACTCCACCTGTAACCGTGTTTGTGTCTGAGTCGCAGACGAAAGGACTCGCCGGAGTTATCCGTGGAGCCAATCAGACAACCGACGGAGAGGTTATATTTCGGCTTGTAGTTCCATGTACGTGTCATACACCAGCCACCTCTTATCCAACGACTCATGTGTTCTTATCGTCGTAGATGGTTATGTCGGCCTCACTCGCAATGACCTCGTCGACATGCTGAAGGCGCTTCTTCCCTCTACCTGCACGATCCACACAGGCAAGCGCCTAATCTCCTATACAACCTCTGATGACATTGTCAAGCTCGTATTCTCCGATGGAACGTCGGCGAATGCGAACATCCTTGTTGGCGCAGACGGGATTAGATCAACCGTCCGAGCCCAGATGTTTTCATACCTTAAGGAGAGACAAAGCCTCCCGAAGTACCTGGAGCATGACGACGAATATCGCAGGACTGTAAATCCAAGGTGGACTGGGACCCAAATATATCGAGCATTAATACCTGTGGAGAGATTGAAGAATATCTTTCCTGACCATCCTGTATTGACGTCGACAGCGGGAGCTTGTGTAAGCGCATCTACTTGTCCATGAGCGCAGTTCTAACGCGAAACATAATCTCTAGTTCAGCGGTAAAAGCCAGGTAACTGCTCTCGTCTACTGAAATTACAAGCTAAATCAAGTGTCTGCGGACGAATAGCATATCATGGCCTTTCCAATCGCACGCGGAGACCTTGTGAACTTTCTAGGGTTTGTATCCCGACCCGTGGAGGAGGGCGTCGCACTCGATCGTAAATGGACAGCGGAAGCGACAAAGCAAGAGGTTCAGGGTTATTTCGAAGGCTGGGAGCCTGCGGTACAAAGTCTGTTAGCGGTGAGAGCTGTTTTTTCTTTTCACTCCGCGACTGTCCAGCATGCCAAATATCTTTTGTGTAGTGCCTGGACCCCGTCTTATCTCGCTGGGACTTGCATGTCATGGGAAAGCTCCCACTCTGCGTGGACGGTCGAGTGGCATTGATAGGAGATGCGGTATGAAAACTACTCCAGTCTTTGGTGATCGTAGTTAGTCTGGTTCGCTAACGAAGACAAACTTCCATTTGCATGTAGGTACATGCGATGAGCACTAATATAGCTGCTGGTGCGGGACAAGCAATGGAGGTAGTATTTTTCCACCCGTAATTTTGTATGTGAAAGTAAACTCAAAGCCTATATCACAACAGGATGCATATATCCTAGGTCGCCTTTTGGCACATAGCCAGATGACACTAGAGACTGTGTCTGTGGCGTTCGAAGCATATCAAGCAAAGCGCCTTCCGTTCGTGAACCAGATCATTGAGAACGCGAACGAGGTCGGCCTCATGTATGAATTCAATGGACCGATATACAACGGAGAGGAGCGACGTGACAAGGAGAAGATGGATGAATGGGCCGCCAGGATCTACAGTATGTGGGAGTTCCAATGGGTTGGAAGCCCCGAAGAGGACTGGGAGGAGGTAAAGGGAGAGTTCGAGCGCCATATCTCCCAGATGAGCATGAAGTAAGACTAGTGGTCATAATGTTCATGCTCTCGCTTTTCCCAGTAAAGCATCAAATAGATGATTAGCTATGAGGACCAAAGAAAAGGGTCATCCGATAGCAAGGACACAGATCGGGGGCCTTAGGTATACTCAGGAACCAGTGGAACAATAATGATGCTAGCGCGGCCCTGCTATGCATGAGTGACGAGAAACACCAAGGGTTTCAGCACTCAATATTTGATCAGCGTGTCGATTAGTTGATGCTAAGAAATTAAGGTTGCTGACTTACCTTGAGACGGTAGACCGCTAGCTTCAAGCTTCGAGTACACTGAGTAGTAAGAATACGCAGTACTGTCCATCTACTAGGAAGGAGAAAAGACACATGCAGAACAGACTGCTGCGACACAGGGATTGCTCTTCAAGTTCCCGCTCGGTCCTGCCGGAGTTATGCCACTGAGGAACGTGTTGCGCTAATCAAGTGCCACATTTCCCAGCTTTCCGCCACTCAGACGGTCACAACAGGCGAGCTGCGAAGGCCACCAACTCTTCCATGGGCGCAAATCTGTGCCATCAGGAGATGTAAATGCTATAGAGAATATCTCTGTACGTTTCAGGGTAGCGCACGGAGTCGACACTGGCTTGAATCATACATGCAGCCCCAACCATGTCATCGTGAAAGTGGTAGTAGACATCGTTCAGCCACTTCGCCACCGGGACGTACAGACTTGGTACAGACCCGCAGGTGACCAAAACATGAGTTATAGACATCTGTATCAGAACAAGGCACGTGGGTGACTGAGAAATGACTCCGAAGTCCAAACCATGTAAAGTAATCATACTGTTCGTGTCAACGGTGTCCACAAGACGAGTACAAATAAAGGATGCCTGTTCACGCGATCGGCCACTGAGAACGTACAGACTAGTAGGGGTGACCAAGACGTCAATCATTAGAGAAGCACACATAACAGACAAAGGCCCGTGGGTGAGCAAGAAATGACTCCACAATCCGCAAACATGCAAACAGACACAGAGAAATCGAAACCTGCTTTTGAATGGTTCGGCAAACCCTGCAGTTTTATGGTAAGTTTTTGATGATAATATGAAATGGCAGTGTAATGTCAACACAAGACGTACCTTGGCGTAGTACTCTCACTGGAGACCGGAAATCATCTCAACCATCTCGTCCCCATAGATTCCCTTTATCATCTCCGTGTCCATATCCAATTCTAAGTCACAACCATTGAGATAATCCCAATCTACCGTCTTCACGACACGTTCTAACCTGTGCACCCAGACCCCTACAATCCTACATTCCCGGATCGACAGGTGTTTGATGGGCTTCCCTAACGTCTGGCGTTTGGTGAGAAAACCAGGTAATGCTTGATGGAAAAGCTTCCTGCTGCCCGGGGTGGCGTCCGCGAATCTGACTTCTCTGAGTTCGAGGAAGGTGAGGTTGGGGAGAAGGACGCGACGAGCGTGATTGGGTTCCGTGGTGAGTGTCGAATCTTTCTTGTTCTTGAGACGAGCACTTTTAGACGTTTTGGACGAGTTCCTGCGGTCGTCCTTGGATTTCTTTGACGCAGTCAACGTGCAGCAGAAGGCGATGGCTAAAGGGCCTGTGACGGAGATGTGCTCTAGTTGCTTGAGATGAACGAGTGTATCCTTGCATTTATTTGTGTCCGTGAACTCTGTCGGCTTCGCCATACGAAGAGTACGGAGGCCCCTGAGATCGAGGAGGGTGCTGATAGATGCAAAGGAAATGTCCTTGGAGTACATCAAGGTCAAGGAAAAGGTGGCGGGAGCGTCGGTTCCGTAGCTGAATATGGACACAGGAGGGAAGGCCGTGCGCTTGTTAGTCTCGGGCTCGCTGCCGGGTATGTCCCACGCGGTTACCTTCAAAATATGAGCCGTGCATCCATGAGGAATGAAGGAGAGTGTGCGTATAGGAGCTCGAAGGTCGCTGTGGAGACGAGCAGTAATCTCCGGGAACAGAGTATCCTTGATGGCGAGTTGGTCGACATCATTGTCGTCCGGTGTACACGAGAGAAGAAGATTTGCTGTCGGGGGAAATTGAACGTGTTGCAGGAGGGGACCACAGTCGGTGACAGGACCGCCGAGAGTGATGCTCTGTAGGATAGAAAGATGAAGTGTAGAGGAAGGCGAGGGGCTTTTGGCATCGTAAGTAGGTAAGCAGTTCACGAGAGAAAGGCGTTCTAGAGAGGGCGAGTTCGCAAGCATCATCAAGAAGTCATTAAAAGATTGGATAGGAGCTGTGCTAGTCTCTAGAAGCCGAGGAAAACTAATGGAGAGGTCGGCCAATGACGAAAGAATGGGAAAACAGGCGGGAGTGAGGCTGAAACCGATTAATGTAAGGCGACGCAGAGCCGGAAGAGAGTTGCCAAAAACATTGCAAAGCAGCGTCTCCATAGAAGAGACTGAGATTCCGCTGCTTTGATGCCTTAACTCGAGGATCTGTAGCAATGGCGCCACGGGAACGATTTCTGCGGTTTGTTGCAGAAGATACGCTTCGTCGTGGATGGTGAGGACTCTGATATTGGAGAGATACCTGCGAAGAAGCTGGCGGAGGATGATCCTACTTTTGTCTGAAATCGTTCGTGCATCGAAGGACAGAGGCGCCGATTTTGCGAGTGAAAACATCCAAGTCGCCCACACCGGTCCCAGAGCAAACGAGATTTCGGTCCAAAGTCTGGGATCAGCCAGGGCAACGCTACGCCATTCTTCGCAGACGTGCAACACCATGATCCAGCCGAGCTTAGTGATGGGTCGAGACGAAGGTGCGGTGTGTGACATTTGACTCTGGGGAACGTCAATACAACTCAGAAACCAGAAGCAGCGAGAGAGGATCACCGGTGGTAGACGAGCAGAGAGAGAGAGCAGGTTACGGCGTCGTTGAGCCAAGGAAATGGCGAGTTTCAATGCCCGAACTTCCTCGTCCAGCGTCAGACGGGCGGCAGCAAGTTGTTCTTGGGTATTGTGAGATGAAAGAGAGGTGAAGGCGACGATTCGGGAAGTGATTGCTGAGGTCCAATATTGGTCCGGAAGGTCCTGCAACCGGTACAGGCACATTAATACGCATGGAGCAAACAGCATATATGCGGAAATGATGAACAAACTTTAGCATCGCGACTGCAATTGCTCATTAGACCGTATCTGCAAAGAATTTTTTGACCTCGCTAAAGCCCAACGGGACTCGACGATTGGTCTGAGCACCGTTTTAAAGTCGTTTTAAACGGTTGCAGATACGGTCTAATAGACATTCTTATGCTTGAGTTTCCTTTTTGCGCTACGACTCTTCACATTAACCGTAGTTCAGAGGTTCCGGCGACAATCATGACTAGGTGATAGTAAGTACGCCTGTTGCAATAGGTAGTGAGCCCCAGTGGAGAAGCAGACGCAAATGGAACCATCATACGAGACGATGGTGAACTATCGGCCGGGGAAGGTGATAGCGGATGAGCAGCAAAGCAAGAAGAACTGATGATATATGTTTTCTGAGCATACTAGAAGCAATACCCTGCGGTTGGCAGAGACCAAGAACACGAAGCCATCAATAAGTCTAACTTTGACTCTGACCCCGAGCGAGCGTGAGCACCAATATCGTCGCTAACCAGGATAGATGAGTCAGATCAAGCTGTGGTCCTTGTACAGACCAGCATAAGTATCCGTATGTTTCTGCAGTCTCGTAGCAGCGATCGAGACCACTTGGACGTACATAGCTCACCCTCCGATGAACTCGTTGCGGTCAACGTTCAATTAGGTTCAAGCAACAGGCCCAAGTCGATGTGGCACAGAGCGGCCCGGTCCGGCCAGCTCTGTTCGGCCATCCGATCTGGATGAAGGCGCCCAACACGGTGCTCACCACACCCACCACGACCACCACGACATCTACCACCGCTCTCCTTCTCCTTTTCGCGTTCTCGTTGTTCTTCTATAGATCGAGAGACTTTATATCCAAGCTCGATAGATTTTGCAAATTCGCTCCGATGGTATGGTTTATTTCTGAGCTTAAATGAGTAGTGAGCAGGCGCTGATTAGGGTCATGGGTAAATTTGACTGGCGTAGTCTAGCAAGGCCAGCAAGAGAGCCGAAGAGGAGAAGTTGCTTCAGTTTACTAGCATTACGAGCGCATCGTACGTATATTCTCCAGCCATAATGACATTGCTTTCCAACGCGATGATTTATTGCAACTGCGCCTGCAACTTCCCCTATCCCGGCCGGCTTCCTCGTGTGATCCATCACTGACACTCTTCGCCGTATCTCCAGGATCAAAGATGCCCGCAAATACCTTGACAAATATAAACGCGTAGAAATTGCCGTAGATGCATACTACAACGACCTTTCATCCCGCCCCCGGACGACCGAACCGCCTGCATCCACATCTAAATTGAACGCTGTGTTCGATAATTATGCAGGTGCCCTCTTATCTTACTCCCACATCATGGAGAGTGGATGACTGACGGTATAATACTGGTGGTCAGACCCCAACGATCCGGATTTGATTACCGTCGATGGCACCATCAAGCTCTGTGAAGATCTTGGAGTTGACCCGGAAGACGTCGTCTTACTCGCGGTAGCATATGAGCTGAAGAGTCCGAGGATGGCAGAATGGAAACGGCAAGGTTGGATAGCTGGATGGAAGAGTGTTGGGTGCGTTCCTTCGCTCGTAGTCTAATTCTGTCCAGTCACTGAATGACACGGTGTGGCCCATTGCGTTGATCGGAAATGGCTGTCTCTAGGTGTGACTCGATCGCAACGATGAAGACTTCTCTCCTTCGATTACGCGACAAGCTAGGATCAGACCCGAACTACTTCCGCTCTGTATACAGTTACACATTTGATTTTGCGCGCGCTGAAGGTCAAAGATCACTTCGTGCGTGTCCATATCATTTATCTTCCCTCTATATCTTCCTTGTGGCCATGAAACCATCCCATGATGCTCGCTTCTCATCCGTGCATCTTTGGTACTACAGCACTGGAAACCGCACAAGCTTTCTGGGCCCTCCTTCTCCCACATGGAATCCAAGGTGGTGCCCTCTCTCACATTACAAGCCGCGACGATGACGGAGACGACAGTATGACGGGCGCTGACGAGGGCTGGAAGCTCGAGTACAATTCGTGGTGGTACGAATTCTTGGAGAATGAAGCGAAGATGAAGGGTGTTAGTAAGGATACATGGATGATGGTGCGTTTTCTCCACTACCACATGTTGCATGTTATTCGGGTATATTCATGACGGCCCTGGTGGAACTCAGTTCTTCGACTTTGTGCGCTCGATTGATTCGAAATTCGAGAAATACGACATGGAAGGTATGTGCTTATTTCTCTGCCTCGTACGCCACCTCCACGCACTCCACTAACTCACAATCTTCGAACCCTTCCCGTCGCCAGCTGCCTGGCCCTCAACAATAGATGACTTCGTCGAATACGCCAAGGGCCGGATCGCTACTGGCGCATGATCCAGTCGAAGAGTTATATCCTAACCTCATCTACGCCCTGTATATCCACAGCCTGGTTCTTCGCTCCTGCTTTATGTGTGATCGAAATACAGTGTGATTTAGACATGGACGTGGGTGGAAGACGGAACGATGTACCTATCTGGCTGATTCTGTGCCGTGATGTTGTATTCCTGTATCGAGAACACCGTTGCTGTGATAATGAATTTGCTTTGTCTTTTTGTCGCATTGAACCATGTACGTATGCTGCTTCTGCGCTGGCGGCTGAATGAGTGCGCGGAAGCTGAGTGTGTGGCCCACCACGGGTGCCACCCGGACTTCGGGGCGTGTCACGGAAATTCAAGCCCCGCCAGTCAACATCAACAAGGTGCTTCGAGGCGCTTTGGCCTTTCTTACCGCACTCGCCCTAGTCCTCTGGACGCTCATTCATTCCTGTCAGCTCTAGAGATGTCGCTTTCACCGGATCATCAGTGAGATTTCATCGAATACGCTATGGGACATTACTCATTCATCATTTATAACCCTCAGAACCGCACACAGCGAAAGTTCTACCGCCGCCCAAGGATCGAACTCGAGCCAGGTTCGTATGTCATTCCATTCTGACTGCACTATCGCACTCCTCGAAGTTTTCTCGACCCAATATCCTGAAGCAACCTCAGGGTCCTTTGTCGGCGGGCTTGGCCTGTCCCCTGCATCATTTCTTCTTTTTGAGGTTGACCCGAGTGTCCTTACTTAGCTTCGCCTCTCCTTGCCGTTGAGTTCAAAACTGTTATAAGACATGTATGTGGCCATGTACCCGTGCTTTTGTAGACATCTGTTTACTAGATGTAAAGCTCCGGCGCAGTCTTTGGCGGCCTGGACCGCTCAAGTTATGCTTGCGACGCATCCCGGTGTCTGATGTCCCGCCTGTTTCTCTGGTTTTCCTTGTTACTTACGCTCTGAGGTTGAGCATGATTGTATCATCTTCACTTCTTTTCATTTCTGCTCAATTGTTAATATGCCTAATCAACTCGAATCATTTCAGATCCTTCTCAATGCCGAACAGTACTGGGCCTCGATGTTCGACGCGCGGGTCGCAGTCCCTGCCCAAATTTCTGCGCAATCGAATATGGACGAACTAAACAAGTCCCGTCAACTTATGGACGAAGAACTCGCCGCTATGAATCTCGTAATGTGCCGAGCTCGTATCCGTCGTAACGCACTTACGACATCCTGCAGAGTGCCACCAGAGATCCTAGCATTGTGCTTTCTCCATCTTGCGTCTCGAGATATCCCCTACAGGGCCCCCAAACAGATATCAGCGATGTCTTCGGCCACCAAAGCAAACATCGCATGGATCAAAGTGCTACAGGTATGCACGCACTGGCGGCAAGTAGCTCTCAGTCAGCCCAGTCTATGGACGAGGATTGCTTTTTGCCTCGGCCCTCGATGGGCGGACGAGATGGCTTCAAACGCAAAGGCAGCCCCGCTGATTATCGAGGAGATGACTGGCAATTCTACGCCACAGACGGTTCAATGCATCGACAAGATCATCGGGGATCATATCTCTCACATCAAGCGGATCGCGCTTGTGAACGGCACTACCTCATTGACTGGCGTCGTCAACAGGGAGACCGCCGCACCCCTACTGGAGTCTCTTGACCTCAACGCGTTATCTTACAAACGCGAGCATCTGAATGACATGCGTCGTTGCGCACTCTCAAATATTTTTGGACGCCAAACCCCTCGTTTGCGTCGGATATGTCTGACGAATATTCAAATACTTCCACCCACATTCTGTGTCCTGAAAACCGTCACGGAGCTCTCCATATCGTTTCCCCGTCGCGGTTCGCTCTCCTCCGACACCTTACCTTCGACACAGAGTTTTCTCGACATGCTCAAGGCAGCGCCTTCTCTGGAATTCCTCAACCTCATCCACGTTCTTCCACATATCCATGATGAAGACACAATCCCATCAAAAGTGCCTTCGGTGCACCTGTCTCATCTCGTAGAGATGTGCATTCAAGGTCCTCCTCTGGATTGTGTCGCCGTATTACGACAAGTGACGATCCCAAGGACAAGCCGGCTAGACGTGACGTGCACACGACACCTATGGGTCAACTTCGAAGACATCCTTTTCCCCATCATCACTGCTCATACTCAAGGAGACGGCGCCCCTCCCATCCGTACGCTCGCGATTTCCAGAGACCGCATGGGGCGAAATTTTGAGCTAGAGATCATAGCCTGGGCCATCGAACGCACTCAAGTTGAAGGCGTTCTTGAGAAGCCAGTGTTCCACCACTATGACGCACCTACGCTGTCCTTGCGTCTGGAAGATGTTGGCCGCTCAGAGCCTTCCCTTGCGTCGATATGTAACCTTTTCGATCTCAGTGGGCTCTGTACACTGAGCGCCCAGGAAGAACGGTACCTCCGTGATTATGATGAGCCAAAGTGGTCCGACATCCTCTGGCCACTCAAGAAACTCAAGTATGTTCTGGTATCAGGTCTCTCCGCTGCCCCGTTCTGTCGCGCACTTGGCCAACCCGTCAGTAGTCGTGGACGTATCACGGAAGAGCAATATGAACTAATGAAGGGTACCGAAGACCATATCCCCGCAGAAGACGTCCTACTTCCCCAGCTTTTCTCCATCGACTTCTATGATGTGGACTTTGGAACGGTCTATGGGTACGACACGACCCTCAAACCACTTATCACGGACCTCCCTATAATCTTCAATTGGCGGAAGGCTGTCGTCGGACGGCCCGTCCAGCGCCTGGAGATTGAGTCGTGTACGATTAAAGCGGAATGGGTGGACAAATTGAGGGAGGTGGTGTCACATGTCGAGTGGGACAGAGTTGAAGGCAGAGAGGACGATGATGATGAATATGGAGACGAAGAGGAGGAAGAAGTGGACTCGGACGAGCTAAATATTTGATTAGACAGGCATTGCTATTTCAGTTCGTGGTGGTATGCGTATTGATTATATGTTCATTGAGCTTTCCTGTCTGGTAGCGACCGAATTGACACGGAATATCTCCCTATTCATGGTCGTCTCGTTACAACTACATTTGATTCTGCTCGGTTACGTTCTATTATTCAACTTACGCCCTTATACGCTCGCAAAACCATATCGGCACACTTCTCCGCCACGACCACAGTCGGCGCTTGCAAATGTGTAGCAAGAACCCTGGGGAAGATAGATGAATCCGTGACCCTCAATCCAGCGACTCCATACACCCTTAGCTCGTCGTCCACGACACCCCCACCATTAGGATCGTCTTCGGACGCCATCCTACACGTCGAAGAGTAGTGATATGTGGTCCTATTGTTTTTCCTAATGTACGCATCTAATTCTGCATCGTTTGCGTCGGGCAGAGGTGCCTATTCGGCCCAGTCTTCGATCGGATATTTGAGAGCCTGCATGCGCTTCTTGATGGGAAGGGTGAGATGGAGCGCTGCGCGCAGGGGCACCAAGTCAGCAGAATTGGTGAGATATTGAGTGTCGATGATGAGGTCCGCGGAGTGATCAGACGACGACAGTCGCACGGTGCCTTTGCTTTCTGGGCGGAGGAGTACATTCAGGAAGCTATAGACGCCGCGAGACTTGTCGAAATAGCCATCGTTGCAGGCCCAAGTCATCTGACGATAGCGTTTTGGAATTGAACATTGCATTGCAAGGGTTAGATGAAGAAACATCAACGTACCGGCATGATCTCGATGTCAGGAACATCGTCGCCCTTCGTCCTATTTGTCTTAGATGGAGCACCGGTAACATCCAGAAAGCGCGAAGAAGTGAAGATGGCCAATTGCAAGACTGGATCAAGGAGCAGGCCGGTCCCGAAAAGGAGGTACCGGAAGAACTCAATGATAAACACCCATGGCCGCATTTCAATAGCAAGCAGAGAGTCTCTCATTGGGATACGGTACATGAGGGGCACCCCAAAGTGATCTTGCTGCGAAGAAAGTCAAGCGAGAACGTCTATGAACGGGTGGTGGTGAGATCTCGAGGCGTGACTCACCAAATTTGATCCAACGGCGGGTAGATCCTTCACAACATCGATGCGGTGTTCTTCGAGGTGCTCGGACGGACCGATACCGCTATGGCAGACGTATCAGCACCGAGTGGTGAAAAAAAGAGAAAGCAGGTCACCTAAGCATTAGGATTTGAGGCGATACCAGTGGACCTGCGCAGACAATCACTTCCCTACTTGCTCGAATCCTTTTCGCGAGTCCTGTCAAGCTATCAAACACCTGGACACCGGTGACCTTGGCTCCGCCAAGAACGAAGTCGAAGTCAATCTTCGTCACCAGAGCGTTCGTGCAGATATGGAGGCGGTCTTGACGAGCCAATGCGAGTTCCTTCGGTAAGAAGGCGTGGTAGGTCGAGTTGCGATGCGAATTGTTGTCTCGCGTGAAGTGGAGACGGCCAATTCCAAACGGAGGGTGCTCTGGAGCATTGATGTCGGGAATGTACGGGAGCCCAAGATCTCTGCATGCATCTATAGTTCTAGACATGCCAGTATGTTAGTACGAGACTTAACCTGATGAGATCAACTGGAAGAATACTTGTAAAATCCTGGAAACTGAAACTTCGTATTTTCCGAAGTGTACCATTGCCCTGTCAGAGGCTGGTCTTCAGTAAGAGAACTTTCTCTGTCATCAAACCGTTCGAGGACATACCGTCGCTTCCGTGTACGGCTGGATCGCATGGAAAGATTGCCTTCTCATGTTTGAGAAAATATCCTTTCAAGTCGTCCCAGCCCCAGCCCTACCTTCCCTCCTTCCTCCAAGCATCGTAATCTGCAGGAAGTCCTCTCGTGTACAACATCTGGTTGATTCTTGAGCTTCCACCAAGTGCTTTGCCTTGGTACAGCTCGATCTTCCGACCGAGCTGGTCTTGATGTACAGTCGGTCGTTTGACTGTACGAGAGCCATCCGAAGCAAAATCAGAAGAGAATAAAGGGACTCGCGAGGCCCAGCTATCTGCAAGAGGGCCGCGCTCAACCAGCAGAACACGGACATCGGGCGAAGCGCTCAGCCTATTCGCTAGGACACAACCTGCAGTACATCCACCTATAACATGAGAGGATATGGAGTATAAAGGGTCGAGCGCTTTCAGCACAGAAGACAACCAAGCATAAAATGCAGACTGGCCTACGATGATGAAGTCATATTCCTCGAGAGTTCCGAGTCTGACGGTCTTCTCAGGATAAGTTCAAGTTGCGGAAAGTCATGTTATCTATAAGGGCGTTCGGTTACAAAAAGTGAATTCTGACTGAGGGGGAGACTTACAGATACTGTTTCTCCTCGAAGAAGCGTTCAGTGCAAAGGTCTACGCTTATGAGAAGACGATGGGAGGAGCTGAACTCAACGGTAACTGCCAAAAGACATTCCTTGCCGATATATCCGGCACACGCCGGCGCAAGCGCAACGGTAGGACCCCTGCATATGCTGGAGGAGGTCCCATCCGAAATCCCCAAATTTTGCCCTTTTTGTCGCACGATTTTGGGCTCATTTTGGTCCGCATGACGATGGTACCTCAGAATTTTGACCATTTTGGTCCGCAGAACGGGATGGGACCTCAAAATTTTTGTTTTTGGTCCGCACGATAGGATGGTACCTCAAAATCCGCATTTTTTCCTTCCATATATTCATATAAAATCAGAAAAAAATCGCTCCAGCCGGTATTGAACTGCATATACTGGTGTACACCCTCAATTTGCTCCCAATCGACCTCCTCTTCCATTTCCGAGCCATCATCCTCTTGTGGTGCCACAGCGCCACCCTGTGGCGCTGCATCTAACTTCCCTTTCCTCCGCATCGCAATCAAGACTCGAACGACATCGTTGATTTCTCTCGTACGTGCGCATATGGTCCGAAACAAAGCCAATACCTGAGGTACCGGTATCATTGTAATGGGAGAGCCTTAGGTGTCGACGTCGATGTCTGTCTGCCTGATAACCTTAGATATTGCTAGCGATAGGAAGGCATAGGTTAGAGGAAAACGAAAGAATTCAGCAGACCGCCGAGTAAACAGAGACTACGCTGAACAGCGACCAACACAGGTACAGAGACGACTCGGACACTCTCGGACCGCACTCAGCGAGATCTGGCGAGACAAATTCACAAAAGAACCTAATTTATGGTCTGAAATGTTCTCTATCGTTGAAATAAACAACCCAGCAGGTACACTCCTGGAATGTAACTCGAAACAATGCAGTCGGCTACGCAACGCGTCGGGGGAAGAAAATAAATGGCATCAGCGGCCACCGATATCGGGAAATTTACAGCCCTATTTGGTCCGCATGCCGATGGGACCTCGCGGGCGACCAGGCGCTTTGGTCCGCACTATGGATCGGACAAAAGCTGATTTTTGGGCCAAAAATTGTCGCACCAGGATGGGACCTCCTTCCGCATATGCAGGGGTCCTGCAACGGTACTACAGTGATCCACCACTCCTTTGGGCACCACCGTTCCTTTGGGCAATGTTGCTCACGAGTTGGTATCTGATTCGTCAGAGAGTAAAATAAACTAAAATTCAGAATCAAATACGTTAGCATTGAAAGTGGTGGATACATGTTTTATTTCTGCAATGAAAGGCTCGTGGCGTATGTGAACGAGTCCTCGCAAAGGTGTTGTTTTTGGCGTTCTCAGTTTTCGGCAAACACCGGTCCTTTGGGCACCCCCTTTTCCCCTCTGCAGATTGAGAATGTCATCGTTATCCTTTGCCTCACTAAGTAAATGCAGTCTTATACACATTTATAACAATATGAATGAGAAGAAATAACGCGAAAATGCAGCTGTGCGATGAAGCAAGGTCGTCGCATTTTTCTGCCCAAAGGACCGGTCCATCACTGTATAAACAAACCGAAAAAGGGCCTCTTGTGCCTGTAGGAAAGGCCAAAACAAGGATATGGACATCACTGCCTTCGAATGAAATGCATGAAGTTAGAAAGTAAGCACTGCATGTTTTCGGAGCAAGTGGCTTGGCGTCGTTGAATCCAGAAGTCTTCGACTCCTTGCGGCGCACGGACACTCGGAAACTGCCGGTGGACAGAGCAAAGGACTTTGGATGGCGACCGAGTACTACTAGCAGATCTCACATTGACTTGGCCTTAGACGTTCATAAGGACGTTCATAAGGCTTGTGACACCGAGCTAAGCCTGTCAGCGGTGAGGATACGTCGTCCCTAAACTCGTGGTTGATGTGTCCTTCCCACTACTGCATCCTCAACACGATCCAGACGAGATGGTACGACTCGGAGAAGGGAGATGTGGAATATTGGCTCGAGTTTCATTGTGTACATCATTATTATAGTATTTACAACCGTTCACACCCAATTGAGACCATGATATTTTCACGTATCATCCAATGACCCTCATTTAGTATTGCAGGAAAAAAAGACAACAAGCCTCGTCTCAAGAGCAACAACACAGAGATCCAGTAGCTTCACGTTCCAAAGAGCACCGCGCCCCCAAAAGGCGACGAACATGCCTGCGGCTGCCCCAACTTCGGCGTCAGTGCCAAAAGGAGTCAATGGCGGACACGGCTCCTCCAGGGGATGCATGGCACGTCTCCTTCTCGTCGTAGCAAAGGTCTTCGTAATGTCGGGTGAGAACACCGGCACCGGACGTTTTGGCTGGACACGAGTAGTCTCGACGACCTGACCGAATCCCGCAATAGATGAGGGCAAAATTTTGAAGGTCTCGTGAGGATCGGCGGGATGGTCGATGGACTTGACGGACGTCGCAGAGGGAATACGAGACGTTGATCCGAGGTTTTTCAGGGGGCCTCACGCAGAGTTTCTGCGATACCTTTGAGTGTTAAAGGCACCCTGCAACGATACCACAAAGTATGCTCCGACTCCGGATAACTCACCTGGTTTGTTGTTTGTTTCATGCCTGTGATGAAGGAAGCTTACCTATTTCTGCATAAGTAGACCTTTCGTCGGGGACGATGGTGTGTAGACTGGGCCTCAACGAGCCGTCTCTGTCGCGCAGGGATGGCGAGGTCCCCATCGTCAACTTATCTAGCAGATCGTACGACTGAACTATCAACGACCGCACCGGCTCACAGCAGGATCATATTGGTCAAGTCTTGCCTATCTCTCCAGATATACCTCCGACCACTCCTATTCTTCACGGGCGCCACACCATACCACCCTCTGCAACAGGATGATCGCTATCATCCGCAATACTGGTCTCTTGATCAGCACGAATCGACTGGTTGAAGAAAATATGTTGGACAGCATACTCGGATTCAGAACTTTCGTAAGTTTGCCTTAAACATTCGAGCATTGTCTGAGAAAGGTCTTGCTCCGTGTCGGACCAGAGGTCGCTGTGCGGACTATGAGACTGGGAAATCAGGTTGAGACACGCAAAGAACAAGACACGGGAATTCACCATTCGGGACTCGGAGATCTTGGAAGTTCATCCTCAATGTTGATGTCCTGTAGATTTGATAGCAGATCATTTAGGACCCAGGGGGATGGAAACAGAGAGGGCATAGTCCGTCACTACAAGAAGAGTGGTATGATGATAGCACAGTCCGTCGTGGAAGGATGGAGAAGGATGAGCAGGACAAGAGAGATGAGGACGGTTAAAACGGGGTCGGAGCAGTGACACGTGGTCTCGTGTTATTGTCGACTCTTCATTGTTGCCTCGCCAAGACTCACGAGGGGAGCAAAAGAATGTACGAGCCGTCGCTTCCAGTCATGACAATGGGCGAAACGGTCCTTGAAGACCACATCGTGGAGTCCAGCGGGCTTCATGAACCCATTGGCATCCGGTACATATGGCTCCTTTTGCATCTGAGTCTGCATCTGAGGCTGTGACGGCCTTGCCGTCCGCATATCGGCATACTTTTAATTGCCTTTGAAGGGCTTTTCTTTCGGTCTGGCTGCACGGGCTTCTGGTTGGTAGGATGTCGAACCGGAGATGGAGGTGAGGCGTTTCGAAATCGAGAAAGAGGTAGCGGTCGTAGAGGTGGGCTCGGTTGGTGCTGGTATGGTATCCTGTAGAAAATAGAAATTAATACGAACAAGACAGTGTACGCGTGACGTGAGGAGGACAGACTGTTTCCATGACTTCTTCCCCTTTCTTGTTCCGCCGTGTCCGTCGACCGTGCAGCTTTATACCATGCAGCTCGTGCTGCCAGATGCCAATGACGACTCTCCAGAAGGTGAGAATATGGGAGGTAAATAAGATGCTTCGTGCGTCGGTGATACACTGCCAGCAAATGGCAAACAAATGGTAAAACATTCAATCTCGTAAAATATGCACGCTCGAGCAAAGCAAGCGCTGTGAGCGCGCCACCGAAGCTCACCGAACCATGCAGCTTTCAGCTTACCCAATCACGGAACAGAGCCACGCGAGTGTCCCCGGAACTGTGGGGGAGCTTTCTCCTTGCTTTCTCAGTGCTTTCTCCCCCACATATCCGGGGACATTTACAAACCGCATCTCCTTTGACTCTAGCAAGCTGACCTGTGAATGGTACATATACGCCATCAACGACGAAGCTCGCGCTTTAAATTTTAAACCACATCACCGACAATTCTGCCAGCGCGTTACCTAGTGTCTACCAACCCCAGTACCAAGTCATCTACCGTTTTTCCACAATCGACAGTCGACCTCTGTGACGACAAATGCGACTGCAGCCTCAGCAACACATAGCGGCTCAGTAGCATATGATACGACAGCTCTCAGTGGCCCCTGCAGTGCCAAACCCAGCTCCAGCCACCTCCTTCGGCATCCAACTCTATTCGAGTGGATGACTGGTTTGTTGATACCACAGAATGGTGGTTTCTTTGGATTCTCGATCCAAATGTCCGTGGTGAGCCATGTCTGTGACTGTTTCTGCGGCGATGACTGATGTACTCCGCGTACTTATGTTGTCGATGTACAGTGAACTCGAATAGGTACTACAGTTCATGTTCGTTCTTGGAGGAAGATCAAAGGCTGGCAACCTTCCAGCCCGGTCCTCCTAGTTCCCTTCCTCAATTGGATGGAAAACATTCAGCAAATAATTGGCTGGGTTCGGGTGCGTATCATATCTTTTCTCACTGGCAAAAATTCTTGACGACGCCACTTTCGCCTCTCCTTCCCCATTGGACATGTCAGATGAATATTCTTTGTCTATCTTAGTCATTCCCATGTTCGTACTAAGACCGACGACCTTTTCCTGGTCCGAGTAGGAGGAAAAACTCCAGAATCAGCCGTGCTCGTCGCTACCCTCGCCAACAACTCCATCTTCTCAAAGGACTACTCCGCAATCTCAGGCAGGAACAACACGCCGCCACTGGACTACATCCCGAAGATGCTCTATACGATGGGAGATGTCTCCGCTCTCACGAACATCAGGTGGCACCTCGGTGCCCCAATCTTTGACACCTCGTCGTTCTAGAGTCTCGGCATCGTATCCTCCGGCCAGACCGTTCTCGGAGACTACCTATCGGCTTTCCAAGCAGGGAGTGAACTGGATTTGTATACTGACCATGGTGAGTGCGTTATGTGGCTCGAGAAGCGCGTCTACAGTAGTAAGTACTGACGGGTAGATTGTTTGCTCTGCACAGGGTTCGTCACCTTTGCTATGATACTCGCGGATGTTTGGTTAACTCGGGATCATTCCTTCCTCATTCATCTCTTCCTTCCTCATTCATCTCCATCAGTCATCGTACTGAGGTCAGTTCTTCATGTAGAAATAATTTTGCGTTTTGCTGATCTTCGTGTTTTCATCTACCCATTCATGTTATATCAACGAACGACCCATAATAGTAGGGATATACACTCTATGACTATGATGGCGAAATCGACGACTTCATCACGCAAGCCGGAAGTGGCTCCTCCATTCTCAAGACTAACGACGTCTAGATTATTCCTTCTGTCACGAACGGCGACTGGACGCCCGAGGTGGTCCGGGACAACGGCATCGTTGCCAATTTCTCGGATCATTTGAACGCGCTCGCAGTGGAGCAGTATGTGCCTACATGCTTTCTCGCTCTGCTTGGAAGCTGTTGATGGTCTCTTTCCCCCCTCATGACCTACGCTACTCGCCGCGCTTATCACCCTAGCTACCCGACAGACAATTACGCCCGCTAACTCGACACCGACGGGACGGTCATCAATCCGCAGGATGTGTTCCCAGACTATCTCAATCACACCTCGGGCCAAGCAATCGTAGCTCCCTACACCAATATCGCGAATACTATCGCCCAACCTGCAGGCAAGCCTTTCATCATGTTCGAGGTGAGAACTCGGCGCCGTCCATGCAACTTCGGATGGGATTTGAAGATCGAGTCAAGGACTGACTATTGTTCCTTTTGAATATCAGACCAGTACGACATCATGTGAAGATTTTACGTGTGTTAGCAACAGTTTTAGCGCGACACTCTGAGCACTTGATTACGCTATGACGATAGTCTACTCAAACTTCACGGGACCGCTTTTCCACGCTGGTGGACAGAACGCGTACTATAACCTTGTGCGGATTTCTCTTGTCTCACTTCGGTATTCCAACCAAAGGTAACTTCAGCTGATCAATCTTTGTGCGCAACTCAGTTCAAGCCACCTCCAACGAACCAGTCCTCGTTCAAGCAATGGTCTGTTGGTGCGACGTATTACTCCGCGCTCGTCATGGTCGAGGTTCTTGGTCCGAGCAATGCTTCCGAGCTCATTGATCTGGGGGCAAACGACAGCAGCATCTACACGCCTGGGTTCGTTTCCTCCTTTCCATCATTGGTCTATCTCCTTCAATCCTCATGAACTGACCTGTGGATGGTGTGATGCAGATACGCGATTTACGAGAACGGCACGCCGACGAAGCTCGCGCTTTTCAACTACATCACAGGCAGTTCTGGTGCGTCGGAATACACGGCCACCGTCGCGATCGGGGGAAGTGGGGCTGGTCAAGATAATCCACCACCAAGCTCTGTCAGGGTCAAGCACGTACGGTCTTCCTCCGTTGCCGATATCCAGGACTTCACTTGGGCTGGCCAGGTCAGCCTCGTTCTCGTTCACTCTAGCGCTTACATCGGCTGATCTCTCACAATGGTGCGACAGACATTCGGCGCCTCCCTCGCCTCTGACGGTCGTCTCACTGGCGATCTCGATGTGCAAACTGTGCAATGCGATACGTCTTCCAACACCTGCCAAATCAAAATTCCAGCCCCGTCGTTCGCGCTCGTCTTTTTGACCGACGATGCCTACTCCTCCATCAGCCCAACGGCCACAGAGACGTTCCCGACGACGGTGTTCAGCAAGACCGTGAACACTCTGTCCATTGAAATGAGCGTTCTCAAGACTTGGAATGGTCACGTCAAGTCTTGTATTGGTTTAATCGTCGTTCAATTCAACGTCGGTCTCGTCGCGCACCATGCACCATGGCCCTGTGTCTAAAATAAATGCTGCAGTCTCTCGGTTGCGTATGGTTTGCTTTCCTTCACCCTCTCCTCTCGAGACCGTTGGCTTTCCTCTTCTTCGTCTTTCTGCATGACGTGTCTGGTTACGCGTACACGCAATCACGCACCCATTCGCCGAACCCACTGGCAGCAGAGACGCGCACTCGAAGAATAATAACGTGCGGCTGCCATTTACATCAAACTGGTGGTTGGATTCCCTCTTTTGAACGTGGAAGCCTGGTGGTCGATACTGCTTAGAGCTTGGAGGTCACGGATGTCTGCCTTGAAAATGGTTCGAACGCCCCATCGACATGGGACGATATACTTACCATAATTGCACTTTATTACCGAGGTGCAAATACGTTGTCTAAAAATCTGGAGATTCACATTCGAGTTCGGTGGTGACTTTCCTTTGTTTTTCCGCACCGAGCACGAAAGCTAGCTACTTGACCTGGTCTAAGTCGCTCGACTAACGGTAGACTAACGGAACCTCTTGCTCCGACTCAGACTTCGAGTTTCAGCGTCCGTCGTGATCACAAGAAGCTGGACAAAAATATGACAATTTCATGAACGATATGATAAAATTACAAAGATCGTTGAAACATAGAACGTCCTCGGTGACGAATACGGCAATTATTCGCTAGACCTCGACCCGTACTAGCCTCGACGACCTGCGGCGCCACCTCTGGTTCGCTTTCTCCTCGTCAGACTCACCTTCCCCACCGTCTTCCACCTCCTGACCCTCTTCCTCGTCATCTTCCTCCTCTTCCTCGTCCTCCACAGCCTCCACAGCCTCCTCGTTCACTTTTCCCAAATGCTCCGCTTCCACCTCTTTTTCCGCTTCCGCAACTTCTTGTATGACATCTTGATACATCAATTGAATCTTCTCAAATTTTATCGACAAAGTGCGGAGCTTTTCTTCCGCTGTAGAGCGACCGGTATTGGACTGCTTATTCCTGAGTTGAAGTATGGAATCTGAGAACGTCGCCTTTTCCTTGACAGTGCCGCCCTCCAGAACGATTTCCGCCTTTTTGCTGTGAAGCATTGTTAGAGATACGCAGACGGAAGACTGAATGAGAAAAGGTTGACGTACAATGGGACCAAGCCGGCGATCTTGTGCTGTTTCATCGGCCGCGTCCACCAGGATGTATCCACCTCGGGTAAAGCAGGAACGGGGGGAAACATATCCTTGAATCGGCCGGAGGCCGCAAGGACCCAAGACACATGCGCCAATAAAGCCGGCATTCCTTTCCCGTACGAAGGTGAGAAATAACTAGTGTTGTTCGGCTTGTCTTCATAGACAAACGTAGTCGACTCGAATGACCCCAGGATATGGAACTCGGTACCGTAGACTCCGCTTTGTGTGTAGACCTTTTGGATAGGTCAGTTCGAGATAGTCTGCACGCAGGACTCAAGGCACTCACTTGTAACAGCATCTTCGCACCGGCATCCATCTTTCTTCCTTCAGTTATGGTGACAGGAGAGACAAACCGTAAGCCCGGAACGCTATCATCATCATCATCACGCTTCCATAATGCCGGGATATGCTTTCGGTCGACGCGAAACTCTCGGAGAGGGTCAAGATCTTTCTGGTGATGAATAACATGGTGAGTCTTGTCCTCTCGGACCACAAAAGCCTTCGGATAGGTCTGACCCTGATGGGGGTCCTTAGGGTGGTCCAGCAGTCTGAGAACGTGGATTGAGTCCGGAATGATCTGACGGGACACGCCAGAAGGGTCGAAATAAGCACCGGGGGCGGATGACACGTAAGGGAGTGTGATATTTTGTTCGAATTCTGTCAAGTCAACAGTGCTCGAGGTGAATGGCATGCCGTTACTATCGTTGTGAGTGAGGAGGTATCGAAGAATGTAATTCGCGGGGTTGTCAAACATATCGCGATTCAGGCGCTCGGTGTCCTTCTCGGAATGCATTACTGGTGGAGAACCTCTTTTGGTCAGTGAGGGGCATATTTGAGCAGCAATGTCATAATCTTCAACAGTTGTCAGGTCTTTGATTATGATGCGCTTGAGTAAAGCTTTCGTCGCGGGGAAGTACTGCCTGGCGAGATCTTGAGCTTGGACGATGACCTGCAGCGACGAGTCGCCCCTCTGGATATCGATGTCCGCCTCAGTGGGGTCCCGAGTAGACTTGGACACGGTCATGGCTCTGCCAAAAATAGGAGGAGCTGGAATATCAACCATGATCAGATCATACATAGTGCACTCTCTGACACCATCCAGGTAATTCTCTGGGTGAACCGGGTACATGTCGGTGTCGGCAGAGCCAGACCGGGGGATGGTAGACGGGGGTTTAGGGTCCGAGTCACCGCCATTTTTGCGCGCCGGGCGTGGAGCTGGACGGTCTTTAACAGGCGGGAGATCAAAGCGCGCCTGTTTGGGCTTCTTGGGCGGCATGATGAGGATCGAGGTAGAAGTTGAAGTGAGAACGAGAGCAATGGGAGAAGAGCACGTAGCCTACGAGAGCCTCATGCTCCTTCTTATATGTATCTTCGGCTCGACGCAGTGTCAGAGATTCGCAACTTTGCCAGCAATCGATCGTGTCAATGGCACGTGTTGCTTTTGTTCTCGACGTGCGGCCCCGGAGAACAATGGGTCGCCGTGATGTCGGGCATGGGAACTCTGGGTGACGTAAGCATTTTGGTGATGCTTAAAGCGGCCGGCCGTCCAACCTTCCGCACCCAACCATCATGTCACTCATCGTGCACTTGCCCCCTAAGGCCTCAAAATCTAAACAACACACACTTCAGCTCCCGCGCTTTGGCAACGATGTCGATGTCGAGGCTTTCCTTGTCCGAGACCCTTGTTTAATACAGTCTGGCCGGCGCTTCCACGTTTTCTCAGGCACTCTCAGAGCTTCAAAATCCAAATCATCACCCCCTATTAGAGTCGTCTGTAAACTCTCCTATACCTCTGCTGGAAGGGACCGTCTTTTGCGCGAGTCCGTGATCTACGATCATCTCAAGAGCCTTCAAGGCAAGGTCGTACCGCGCTGCTACGGCTACTTCGAGGACACAAATATCGCCGGATGTCTTGTGCTTGAACACGCGGGAGAAGCACTAACAACTTGCTTCGAGAACTTGGATGACGAGCTCAAGTAAGTCTCGTATGCTTCTTGGCCCCTGCGAAATCCAACTCATATATCCTTTGTCGTCCGTCATGGCGGGACACAGATTAAAGGTCATGGACGCCTTTGATCAGATCCACCAAGTCGGTGTTCAACACGATGATATTGCTGAACGCAACGTCCTCGTCAACGAAGAAGGCAGAGTTTTTATCATCGATTTCGAGCACTCTTTCCCGTCGAAATGTAAGCGGCGTGTCCCGATACCCGGTCTCGGCGATCTTGGTATCGAGAGAAGCAAGCTGTTGTGTAATGAACTCTGGGATCTTGGGTGGTCACTGAGGATGTGGAAGCCTCGTACGTGAATTTCTTTTGCTTCAGTCGGCATATTGCGTCTCTGCTGTGTACTTATCACCACTCCATCTTGCTCCCGTATGATGACAGCAGTCGTGCAGGTCTTCGGACACCTGACTCCCATCCAGGCCTTCAATGACCACGATCGACTCATCGCCGAACGGCCGTCGAACTATTCTCAAGCTGAAGCGGAGACAGAAGCTCATTACCTTTGGACGGAATACGTAAAGCGATGGTTCCCCGACGAGTATGCCAAAATTCCCAAAGGTGAGCTTGTAATCCTTCTCGAAGATGTCAAAGTGATGCGAGTTTCTCTGCTTGCCATAGATGGGAAACGGCATTGGCCGATTGTGAAGTTCAACCGCGAAGCTGAAGAAGACGATGATGACGATGAAGAAGACGATGAAGACCTCGAAGTCATTACGAGCAGCGAACAGCGTTCCGATCCGCTGCTAGATAGTGGTTCAGATTATTCGAGTAACGGTTCTCAATGATGACCGCATCTCATCTCTTCCATCCGTCGCTTGATATTTTGTTTGTTGTCCACATCTCTCCCGTTCATATGTGCATCTCGTCATGGTCTTCACTTTGTGTATTCACTAGGTAAACATAAATGTAATACTCTATCAAGTATACACATCCTGTATCTCAATCGGTGATGTTTTGGTACGCCCGTGTGTTGTTCACCCTTTTATTTATACCCTGGTCGCAACGGCACGCATAAAAACTTGTAGGAGAACTGGACTGGATATTTCAATCGTGGATGCGAATCCATTTATACTCCGCCCGGCCATTCCCATATCCGAGGTCTGTCAAGTGGCGTCAATCATTTAGTGTAAGTTTGAAACTGTAGTAGTTTAGTAGTCACACGTATGACGTATGGAGAAGCATGTACATGAGTGAATTGTTCTGCCATTTTTTTGAGGTTCCTCTGAAGCCCAAGCAAGGTCTGTGCCGCCCCAGGCGGAGCGAGTGAGTTATGGACTGTGGATCACAGCGCCGCGAGATGCTTAGTCATCTAAGACACCGGAAGTCGCCGGTGGCGGCGGGAGTCCGACTAATTCCGGTATTTCGCCTTGCTGGACGACGTCGACCTCAAACCACCGTCGCCCTCACTCTGCGTCAATCTTGCGACGACCATTACTTGTGTGTCTTCTCATCTCAGACGATACAAGAGCTTTTTGGTAGCATTAACCACTCACAACACAGTCCAACATAGTGTCCTGACTTTCGTTAGCCAAGATGTCACTCACCGTGGATTTACCCCCACAGGTCTCGTGGTCTAAGCAACGCACACTTCAGCTTCCGGGCTTCGGAAAGAATGTCAACGTGGAAGCTCTTTCTGTCCGAGACCCCATCTTACTTCAGTCTGGCCGACGCTTTCATCTTCTCTCAGGCTCTCTCCTCTCTTCCAATTCCGAGAATCCCCCCATCCAAGTCGTTTGTAAACTCAGCTTCAGTGCTAAGGGCATGGACCGCCTCCTGCGTGAGTCCGTGATTTACGATCATCTCAAGAATCTCCAGGGCAAGGTCGTCCCGCGCTGTTTCGGCTACTTCGAGGACACCGCGGTCGCTGGATGTCTTGTCCTCGAACACGCGGGAGAGGCACTTACGACCTCCTTTGAGTACCTCGATGGAGAGCTCAAGTGAGTCCCGTGTTTTTATTTACTGCGAAATGAACCTCATCGTTTCTGCTCCATCATGACGTGACACAGGTCAAAGATTATGGACGCGTTTGATCAAATCCATCAAGCCGGTGTCGAGCATGATGATGTTGCTGAGCGCAATGTCCTCGTCAACGAACAGGGGAGGGTTTTTGTCATCGCTTTTGAGCGCTCTTTCCCGGCAAGATGCTGGCGGCGTCGTCCAATACCCGGACTTGGCGATCTTGGACCAGACAAATCCAGGTTTTTGTGTGATGAGCTCTGGCATTTGGGGTACTCACTGAGGATGTGGAAGCCACGTACGCAAATTCTCTTCCACCTAGTTGTCGACAATTGCATCGCGTACTTATCACTGCTCCGTCACGCTCTCATGGGGTGACAGCAACCATGCAGGTCTTTGGACACCTGACTCCCATCCAGGCCTTCAATGACCACGATAAACTCATCGCTAATCGACCATCGGACTATTCGAAAGGGCGAGCGGAGGTAGAAGCACATTACCTTTGGAATGAGTATGTAAAGCGATGGTTCCCGGATGAGTATGCCAAAATACCTAAGGGTAGGCAGGTCCTTTTTTCCAATGATGTCAATACACTGATGTCAGCGGCTCTTCCTGTCATAGATGGGGAAATGCATTGGCCGATTGTGAAGTTCAACCGCGAAGCTGAAGAGGACGATGATGACGAAGAAGACGACGACGACGAAGACCTCGAAGTTATCACGAGCGGCGAACAGCGTTCTGATCCGCTGCTAGACAGTGGTTCAGATCACTCGAGTAACGGCTCTCAGGGATGACCACATCATATCCTTTCCATACGGCGCTTGATATTTCGTTTGCACTCCACACTTCTCCAGCTCATATGTGCATCTCGCCATCCGCTTTGTGTATTCACTAGATAAATATATATGTAATGCATGCCCTTTTGATACCTCTATAAAGTATACACATCTGGTATCTCAATCGGTGATGTTTTCACCCTTTTCGAAGTGGCCGTATGTACCAGATCTTCTGGCAGAACCATACCCTGGTCGCAACGGCACCCATAAAAACTCGTAGAACTGGACTCTCAATATTGGCTCTGAATTCGTTTAGACTCCGCCCGGCCATTCCCCTATCCGGGTCGGCCAAGCCGGGTGTCACTCGAAAGTATACTGTAACGGGCAGGTCTGCGGGAGAGCAAGGATCCGGGCGGGAAAGGGACCCGCCCGAAACTGGTGTTGAACAGACAAGGATACATGGTGCTACGCTACAAGTATAAATACTGTAAAGTGAAGCTGAGTAATGAATGTAAAATAAACGAGACAGATAGGAGGAAGGTCTGGAGTGGCGGCGAGGGGTGGCGAGAACAAAAACTATCGGAAGTGATCGACTGTGGCGAGGTTATGGTTGTGGCGCTAGCCATGACCATGACATATACCTCGAACATCTGTAAGTAGTCAGCTACGGCATCGTATCCTGCGGCCTCTAGTCTCTCAAAGGCACAGTCCTTAGACTAGATTTTGACCGGGCAAGCGATGAGGCCTTATACTTTTCATCAAGTTCTTCGCGTCCCATAGATTCCATCTTTGCTCATGACCCACCATAACTCAGCTTCAGTGATATGAAGCTGCCCCCTTGTCGCCCACGTCGGGATAACCATAGTTGTCCTGGCGAGTGGATTCTCCAGCCTCTCGACTAGCAAAGCCCCCATTAGGCCGTATCGTGACCCTTTGCAAAGCGCAATCTGGGAACTTGCAGGAAGGAAGTGGCTCAAAGGTACGTGTTTGCCAGCTGCAGGCTTGAATGCCTGCTTGACGTGGGCTACTTTTGACAGCTGCAGTCATGTTGTAATGCAAGGTGTATGTACGAGACTTGAGTATCATTTTGATAACGTGATTCCATCACCGCGCTGGCCGAGGATACTGAACGAAATCCCCATCTCTAGCATGCCATCTGTGTCAAATGTCGCGTCCTCCATTGTTCCTCGATTTACATCATATTCGCTTAGCCGCTTCCAACATACGACCATCGAAGCTCGAAAAGCATCCTCCGCTTGTTCCTTGCGCTGTCTGGCTCTTTCCTTTTGTTCTCCTCCTACGTGGCATCTCCGGTATATCATAACTGCACGGCCTGGTAGTCCATTCCGCCATACCCTCGACACCAGGCTGTAGCTGTATGCTTCTGGTAAGGATCTTGGTGTCAATCGCCGTACCTCCCTCCATGCATACTCGTCCCGAATGGGACATCGCCTTCGTTTCAGGTGAGCCTTTCAATGCATCGGCAGGATACTATATGTACCGTGGCAGACTTGATGTGCACGTCTGGGCACGATGTGTCCGACCCATTTATCGATATCTCACGGAACGGCTGATATGTCTATGCTGTGCGGGCGACTCGACGCTGGACCTGAGCTTTTTTGTCTGACGAGTCCTTGGCTTCATTCTCCTAAGTTCGCTCTTCGCTCAAATTTTATGATAACGCGTGTTACCTCTATAGCACAACGTTGGGGACAGTGCATCTCTCATAACTCTCCCCTTGCCCTCTGGCGCCTGCGTAAGCAATACTTTAGAACAGGTCATCCCGTTGTAATATGTGCACGGTGGTCTGAGGAACACAATAATTTCAGCCCTTTTGAGCCGCTGATTTGGCTTTCCACAGATTCCGCCTCGTGTAGATGCAATCTGAGAATCGATGACGACCGTGGTGCATTGCCTGCGACATGTCCGGGCTTGATACGGCCGATTTCACATCATCGGATCCAGCTCTATTCTACTTTGGATACTGGGGCCTGACACGATGCCTCTTCCCCTAACACTGGTATGTATATAATGCCATAGGTCGCGATAGGGAGAGCTCCAACGCCCACTTCCTGCGAAGCCCCCACTTCGTACTGCCTGAGCTTAGCTTCAGCCCTCTCGACTTTTACGGTTGAGACCTCACGCCCTCCGAGACGACTCCTTACGACTCTTTCACGATCATCTCTATCGACGACCTTCTTCCCGTCTTGCTCCTCATCTACGTCAGCTCCATTCCCCAGTGACTCTACTGCCATGGATTCCTTTGCCACGACCACCCTCCTCTTCAAGCACCTCCCCTTCGTCACTTCATCCGCGATGACTTCTTCAGCCTTTATCAATGTTGCGGAATTGCATGTCAGGGGCGTGACGGAGGTGCGAGCCAATGACTCTGAAGGCGAGTACCGCGGGTCGGTGCCGCTGGATGAGGAGCATTCGACGGGAAATTCAACGTATTGTGTTATCGCGTGAGGACGAGAGGTGACCTGTACGTACTACACTCTTTTGAACTCTTCAAGGATCGCATTTTTCCTCGGATGAATATCTACTGACAAGTTTTTGAACATCTTTAGGTGGTCATCTCCGTGGGCTGCTTGCGGCTCGGGCTTTATTTATTCGACTCATCTGACTGCCAGTCATCACAACTCACGGGTACATTCCAGAAACACACATTGTATTCCGGTACGTATTCTCTCGGATGACTGGTGGTGGTAGGTGTTTTTGCATGGATGTACGTCGTGGACTGAGCTGCCCTCGGCGTACCCGCATGCAAAAATATACTACTACACTTTCTTGCTTTGGACTACAGACAGTGAGCTGACTATCCTTCACCTCATGCAGGAATACACGATGATATGCCTCATGCTATCCTCCCTCGACCATCATTCATATCTTCCTTGTCTTATCCTGACTGTACAACCTGTATTGTTAGTTTTGTATGACGAGTGGACGTTCAACTTTTGTGGCTCTCGTCATCGTACGTACGTGCTTACCCTCATTACGGCCAGTCCACGTGCATACTATACAACCTGAACCATAGAACGCGAACGATCCTTCCTTCATCCCCATGCCTCTCTCCGGGTTGGATCTGTGTGGACTATCGGTCGTGTACTTTTAGTTTACGTCGCCATGATTGGGACGCGTTGGACTTTGGATATCGGACCTTGATTCTTCGCTTTCCTCGTTGGTCATCTTTGTTGCTTGATGTTCATCGACACCCGCGCTCCTGGCTATGTTCACGATATGGTTTTGTGTGTTCGTGCTTGAGGATGTTGTTTTGATGATCTCTTTGGGATCGTTCGTTCTTTTTGGTGGTGTCATTGTTGGATACTATGCGATAAATAAAGTGGGGGCTTTTTCGCGGGGTGTTCAATATTTCTTGTGTGCGAAGGACGCCTGAGCATGATTTTGAGGCCTCGCAGCAGCCGACACCAAATTCGCAGGTGCCACATGTGGCGTTGATACAGCGCCACAGGCACGGAAGAATGCGCCTGCCTGTGGCGCCCTTTGTGTGTCCTTTTGCCATGATCGTCTCACCGTAGCCTTTTGAATCTCTCACTTCTGCACTTCCTTCATCTCAATCTCATCTGCTCCGCCAGCACGCTCGATAACGTAAATTTTGACCGAGATGATGTAGGATGATGTCCATGACTCAAGTATCCAGAAAGGATATCCAGAGTGCCACTGGCACCACATGTCCACATATCCGCATGTCCACTTTGGATATCCCTTAAGCCATGTCCTCAGCGTCGCTCGAAATGCCTCCAGGCATTTCACGACGATCGAGCCTCGTATAAATACAACGTGCTTCCGCCGCTCTCTCATTTTCAGTCGCCCCTCGTCGATCGCAGTGATCTCACTCGACTTCTGACCCGTCTCGTCTGCTCTCGCAAGAGTTGATATCTACCCTCTTCTGCCCTCAACTCTCTTTTGCGTTCTCTTCGCCTCTGTAACTCTTCACGCGATTCGTACCTCAGAATGAGCTCTGAAGGTCGAGATGTCGCTGCGCTTCGCCAGACCGTCATTCAACGGATGTCGATTGAGCCTTTCCACTCCGCACCTCCGCTTCATACTCATCGCCAATTCAAGACCTGTGGAAAATTTGCTCGCTGTGAGGGATTGAAGTTATCCAAGTGCAATGGGTGTTCCGCATATCAGTACTGTGTATGTCACTTCCTTTGCCTCGTCTCTCGTCGTTTCTGGAGCTTATCATCGCACTTCCAGTCTTCAGCGTGCCAGAAAGCCGACTGCCCTCGTCACAAGGTAGGGCCAGCTATCCAGTCTACGCATGGGTTACTCAGCATGTTTCCAATCCATAGTTCGAATGTCAGAGTGTATCTGCTCAGCGCAAGTATCTCGTCTCTGTGATGAACAACCGCCAGGCCTGGCCAGACCTCATGTCTTGGATCGAATTCCATCACGCCAGTCTCGTCAATAGCACCGTCGCCGCAATGAACCTCCCCTCCAACCCCACCGCCCACGAGAATCACTTCCTCGCCTTGAGTATCAATTGCGGCGACGATAACACTCTACCTCCGGAACGTCGCTTCCGCATCGAATCCGTGGACTACGTCGACCGCGATGCCTCCCCGGAATGGTACTGTTACACTATGCAGATTTGGCATCTCCTCCTCAAGTTGTCGAATTGGGTCGGAGGGAGTATGGACAGAGATATGCAGGGACGGGCATGTATCTTTTGAAGGCCAAGTTCGGTCCTGGAGATGCCACACTCGCAGAGGTCCCGTGGCCCAAGGCATTTGGGTGCGACAGGACTGTAGCAGCGGCGACGCCTAACTCGGATTGGAAGAGGTTGTTGACGGATGCACTGGAGAATGGAAAGAGGATGAAGTTTTGCTGCAAGAAGATGCCGGGAGCTTGCTGCTGTGGCGGCTGGACTCACGGTGGGCAAGAGGGAGGTGCTAGTGTGGCGGTGAGTCAAGATTCCCATGTCTTTCGTGCGCAAGGGAAGCCGGGATGATGGAGATTGACGCTCTTACCCGCGCACAGGATGATTATGTTCACGCCGAAATATCAGAAGTTGATTGAGAATCGGGGCGTTAGCATCATGTTCACACTTGACAATATTAGAGACTCTTAGTCCCTTTACTCGACAACATCAGGCCTCGGGTTCCCTAAATCGACACCATCTCCATATAAGCCCCCTCTCGCCTCGCACTCAATGCCGCGATGCTTGTGCTATGGTATCATTCATTTATAGTGATAGCCCCTCTTCCTCTTTCTTTTCAGATCACGATGATGATGTTCCGAGACAAATGAGAGGGAAAAAAAGTCAATTCATTTTGTGGCAGTCTCGTTTACAATACAGGCCTGATGCCAGGTGCGTTACGCCGTTCACGACCTATCCATCGTCGACCATGTGATGATATTGTTTGTTTCAGATATTGATAGGTTTACTTTATGGGCGTATGCAGACGGACTGTTTTGTCGATTCCCCCGTCGAGCGAGAAGCTTAAGAAGTCTTTGGCCAATCGCACACAAGGCGAAGCTGCATGACCAGGTCAGTCGAGGTATGCATTGCAGTCCGAGCAACGCACACTGCCCATCGGATATGCTCTCGTGATGCAGCGGCATAGTTTCGTTCGATGCACATATCTGGACTGATCGTGGTGGCGACGGGACAGACTGCAAGGAGTACCTCAGTTTTAGGATGAAAGTCATTGGCAGCCGACGCATGATGTACCGTGGCTGCTTGGGGGCTAGTCGCCTCCTTACCTTTATAAGGCGTCTGTGCATCAAATACCTTCCTTACAATCATATTCCTTCCTCCCCCTTCGCCGACGCCGGAGAAAAGCATTGTGAGTCTCAGTATTTCCCCCTCACCATTCCACCGCCTGTTAACCTGTGTTTATTGTAGCGCGTACTACTTGCTTGCGAGCTCCTTGGATGGGTTATACTCCCGATGACAATGTTCTTCATTCTACCTTGACCGATGCTGTCAGGCTCGTTCCTGCAATCATCGTAGAATCTGCACTGTTCGGTGAGCCTTAGTGGCTCTCCTGCGCCGTCATCGAACCACTTGGCATTCAAGCCATATCCATCAATGTTGCACAGGTGTTCTCTCTCTTGTTGTCTTATTCTCGACGACTACACTCTTGTGAGTCTCTACTATGTGTTGACCGTCTTTGTCGTAATCTGATGGGCGGCCGCTGATAGGCAGCAAAGCATTGCCATTCGGCCTCGAATTTTCATGATGGCTGCTACACTAGTCATGTACCTTGCGTCCGCGACGCATTGGATATTGAACTGTTATACACTCATGAGAGAAATTCGAGGACCGGAAGCCTGGGCAGCCCTACCGGTTGAGACCGTATTCAGATGGTCGCTCATAACGACAATCGCCCTATTCTTCTCGGTGCGTGTGTGCGTACTAATGCTTGGGTATATTAGACTGACTTCATGCAAGTTCTGGATCAGTGACATAGTCGTGATGTGGCGTGCTTGTGTATTGTGGGTTTGGAACCGGTACGTGTTAGGAACCGCGGTCGTCTTCAGTGTTGTACCCGTACGTTCATCTGGTCCTGACGAGTTATGTTCTGAGTAATTACTCACTACATCTACTAGCTTATACTCGCCACCATTGATGCCGCTACGTCTCATCCAACCACCGCACACAACACCTTCCAACCCAACATATTCGGTCTCTTGGCTCTCCTTCTGTCCTTGCTCTCGAATATCTGGGCCACATCATTGATAGGCTACAAAGCATGGTATGTACCCGTAGTCAAGTCAAGTTAATTGTACCACATAGAGTGAATGATTCATCTAGGCGTCATCGTAAAGACATAAAATCCCACCTGGGTAGTGGAGGCACTGCGGCGTCAGCAGTTCGTAGCATCATGGCGTTGCTCGTGGAATCCGGATTTCTGTATTGCATTACCTGGGTGAGTCAAACCGCTCGTATGCTCTACAGCAGCGACCTGATATATATTCGGTCTGCCCGTGATACTACAGGCTCTCTTTATTATCAGCACAGCCCTGCTCAACAAGGGCAAAACAGCCACTGTGGCTCACATTATCGCCGGTACTGTGCCACAACTTGTGGTGCGTTGAAACCCTCTGCACTGCCGTTAACTTTCACTTATGAGCTGGATTTAGGGACTGTACCCCGCTGTCATCATCGTGCTCGTCTCCCTTCAAAAATCTCATACGGAGCGGAACTTCACGTACGAGTCTCCGGAAGAGTCGATGGAATTTGCTGCTGCCACACTTACACAGTCAATGGCAACAAGTACTCACCATGTCCGGACCATCGAGATCAAAAGAAGGACTTCAGCACCATCTGAGGATCTTCCAATCATGATGGCAGGTGAAGACTTGATGCAGATAGGGCAGGCCTGGTGAAACGTTCAGATCATCAAGGGCCCTCAAGTTATTCCGGTAACCTTGACCGCTCATTGGACTAGAGCATCGACAGACACGATCAGGAGTGGATGGAAATGTTGATTGGTGCGCTAGAGAGAATGAAGAGAATGAATTTCTGCTCTAAGACTGGAGCGTGTTCCTGTGGCGGCTGGACCTATGGTGGGAAAGGGGATTCAGAGTGTGGCGGTGAGTCGAGGTTCCCATGTCTCGTGTGTTAGGGAAGTTTATAGTGACCGTGAAGCTTTGAAGGCTGCCGTTGCTACCGCACATGAAGATCCTGTCCATGCCGAAATATCAGAGGTGGATCGAGAATGGAGTGCTGGAATCAAGTTCGCACTTGATGGCGTTCCTTTACTTGTCAACATCAAGTCGGCGGCATTGGCCTTTACAGTAGGCCCCCTAAATCGAATCGGCGTGATGTCCACATAAACCCCCAGCACCCACTTCGGAGCGATGAGCACAAGCCTATTTTTACTTGAATGCCTCCATCTCATTGGATGTGGGGACCTGTCGTTCGGTACAACATGCCTACTGATCTTTTATAAGTAGCCTGTGTATCAAGTAGCGCTCTCGCGGTAGTACCCATCTAGTTGCATCCGCCGGCGTCGGATAGAGAAGATCGTGAGCCCCCATTTCCCTTTCTTCAACTAGGGGGTTATACTGTGCATCGTATTACTCATATTGTGTGCCGTGCAGTACATACTACTCGCTGGCGAGTCTTCTAATGAGTATGCCCAGTGGCGACTCGGACGTCTTTCGTTCTACCTTGGCCTCTGCAGTCAAGCTCGTTCCTGCGGTCATCGTAGAATCTGCACTATTCGGCGAGTATTCTGCCTCATCACATTGTATCATTGAAGGCCTAATTCTCTAATTAACATAGGCGTCCTCTCACTCATCGTTCTATTCTCAACGACTACCCTCTTGCGAGTTGCCCAAACTACCTCCCATCTTCGTTGATCTGATGGTCATACAACAGGCAGCAAAACATCGAGATACGGCCTCGAATTTTCATGCTGGCTGCTACATTGGTCATGTACCTTGCGTCTGCGACGCACTGGAGCTTGAACTGTTATACACTCCTGAGACAAATTCGAGAACCAGAAGCATGGGCAGCCCTGCCCAGCGAGACTGTGTTCAGGTGGTCTCTCATAACGACAATCGCCCTATTCTTTTCGGTGCGTTTTGCGCAGTGCTGACATGGTGGCATTCCCGACTGACTTTATGCAAGTTCTGGATTAGCGATATGGTCGTGATGTGGCGCGCTTGTGTTCTGTGGGTTTGGAATCGGTACATTTTTGGAACTGCGGTGGTCTTCAGTATTGTACCCGTACGTACATCTATTCTTGGCTCGTCTCTGGAGCACTTTCTCAAGCGACAACCACACATCAGTTAATACTCGCCATCATCGATGCCGCTACATCTCATCCGACCGCCGCTCAACTCACCTTCCAGCCCAGTATATTCGGTCTCTTAGCTCTCCTTCTGTCTTTACTCTCGAATATCTGGGCCACATCGCTGATAGGGTACAGAGCATGGTAAGTCAAACAATCAAGCCAAGCTAGTTTTATTGTAACGAAAGGGCTGCATTCTGTAGGTGTCATCGTAAAGACATAAGGTCTCACTTGGGTAATGAAGGTACCCCAGCGTCATCAGTTCAGAGCATCATGGCATTGCTCGTGGAATCTGGCTTTTTATATTGCATTACCTGGGTGAGTCGAACAACTCATCTGATTGAGAGCAAAGATCTCAAACATATCATCTTCGTTCGTGATCATTTAGGCGTTCTTCATTCTCAATACGGCCCTGCTAATCAAGGGTAAAACAGCAAATGTGGCACACGTTATATCTGGTGCTGTACCACAACTCGTGGTACGTTTAAAATCTGCGCACGAAATCACCTCCGTTGACGAGTGACCTGGTTTTAGGGCATCTATCCTGCTGTAATTATTGTTCTCGTATCCCTGAGAAAATCGCATACGGAGCGGAATTTCACGTACGAGTCTCCGGAAGAGTCGATAATATTTGCCGCTGCCCCACGCACACAGGGGTCAATGGCGACAAGTAGTCACCATGTTCGGACTATCCAGGATCAAAGGAGCGCTCCATCTTTGCCCCCGGATCCTCCGATAGAAGATGCGTTGGAGCAGTAGGCCGCATGTTTAAGAACGTCTAGCATACGTTCACGGTGGTTTCCGTAGTTGCTCCTACTTACCTATTCCTTGCTCATTCCATACGTTCTCTGTTCACCATCCAGGTTTGATAGTTCTGCGTTGTCTCGCTACATCTTATGGCCACGTTCACTCGCTATTAAGATAGTTATATGTACTCGTACTTGCTCCCTGCACCTCAGATTATTGCCCCGCTTCTGAATCGTGTGCACGAGCTACTCAGTCTACGGTATTAACTAGCGTACACGAATGTAGTCCATTCTATGAGATGAAGGCTCGATTCGAAGAAGGGAAAACTTGCGGAACATCGGCAGAGCTGCATACTCACGAGCCCAAGCATCATTCAATAACTTAGGTTGGATCTGAAGACGATTTCGTGGAGATGAAAGCAGATCCGTACATGTGATCTGAAATGCGTATCTACATAGGTATAGATATGCACTATCCTAATGCGTGTCCAAATGCAAAGAGTCCGTAAGCAAGCAGATGCGCCCCGAACTACATAAATACTCCACAACCCACACAACATAGTAGAGCAACCTCACCACGAGAAGCACAACTCGTACGGAGCTATCATGCATCAAACCACAACCCCACGGCTCGTCCCATTCAAGCTCAAGCTTGAACCATCATCATGTTCATAAATCTCCTCGTCAATCCCCATCTCCGGCACACAAAGCTGCGCTAACCCTAAATCATGCAATCTCGTCATCTTAAGCACCATGCTCAACCCAACATCCTCTTGCCCCGGCTGCGCTCGCGCAGGAATATTCAATAACGCCCAGGTCTCATCATCGAGGTCTTCTGCCATGCGGCCCCAGGTAGACCGGATGATGTTGGGATAATTATACGAGGCGAGGATGAAGCAGAGGGGCGAACCTATCCGACGAAGGAGAGTCATTGAGTGGGAGGACGTAAGTGGAAGTAGCAGGGAAGAAAGGACGCACAGAGACCGCTGATCTCTTGTTCGGCGGCGAGATAAGGTGACGGTTCTTTCTTCTCTGGAGGGTCGTCCATGTCGATATCCGTGAACGTATTCGAAAGCGCATCGCCAAGTTGGTATAGACGTCGACACGCGGGACACACGCGTCCGACTTTACGACTCTTGTTGTACCAAACAAACTGTAAAGGCACCGCCCGTCGAAATTCTCAGTATTGTATGACAGTATAGGTATAGACATACATACTATGGCTGTCTCCTCAGGCAGCACCGTACAAAGCATCTGCAACACCTCTGGCTGAGCGAATTCAGAACGCAAAGGGTCAGAAGCGCATGGCGGTTGTGCGAATGAAGACTGGATGAATTCTCGTGCTGATAACACGCGAGGGCCGTTTCCTGGATCGTGAATGATAGGATTTGATAATCGAAGAAAGATATCGTCGTCTGGTGGGTTCGGTGATGTGGCACTCGGAAGCTTCTGTGAGAATGTGTTGGGATGGGTGGACGAGACGTAGGGCGGTGCGGGAGTATGATTGTGGCTCAGATCCCAGGAGTCAAATGGAATGGAATGTGATGGTGGCGGGGACGGAGACAAAGACGGGGATGGAGAAGTTGTGATGAAGGGGAGAGAGGTGCCACTTGGTGGATTGTCCAGATAATAAGTCGGTATTGGAGGTTCAGGTAATGGCCTATTATGCACTTCGGATTGCATGTCCACCATAGATAACTCTTCTCCTCTCTCTAAAAGCTCTCCGGAGCCTACTGGCTCTCCATCTTCAACAGAGTGTCCAACAGGAATCCGAATCGACGTCCTCCGCTTCTCCTTCCTCGCCTGCGTCTTCTTCTGCTTTCGTCTATTTGAGGGTCCCGGCATATCGTAGTAGTGTAGTGGAAGAGTTTTGAGGTCTTGAAGAAGAAGAAGCCAGCTTGAAATCTGAACTCCAAACTTGTGGCGGTTGATGATGGCCAATGTCAGAACTCAGTCGAAACTGACGACGCTCAACGAGGCTCGTTACGCGACGCGATCACGTGGCCGCGTTTGATCATTGCCACAGGCTTGTCACTGTGGCGCTGGCGCTTGCTCCGGAGTCCGGACGAGCTGTCCCCTCGGAATACAATAGAGGACAAGAATCCGGGAGAGTTCAAGCATATGATGCGGCACAATAAGGACGAATCATACACTCGGAATATTTGGTGCACGTTGTATCACGCCAGAAATAATGTTTCAGCAGTTTTTGCTACCATTGAACTAGTGCTCTGGAGGACTCCTCTCCCATCACCGTCACCTGCATACAAAAGAGATCGTCCAAAATCCCAGAAACGAAGAAAAAACTAAAAAGGGGGTCAGAGAAGGCGAAGGTTGTGAACTAAGCAAACACGAAGGGCTGCGGGGGTGATGATATGTATCAGTACAGTACTGGTAGTGGTTGGGCGTGCGAGTTGAGTAATTGTCAGCACAAAAAGTAAAGGAAGCAAAACGAAAAAAAAAAAAAAAAAAAAAAAAAAAAAAAAAAAAAAAAAAAAAAAAAAAAA